AAGACTGTAAGGACAGTGTAGGTGGTCTAGGAATATAGTTCTCAATTATTATTTGGGGTATTTCTTCCAGAGTATTCTGACTACTGTTTTCTTTGAAATATCTATTAATTCAGTGGTCCTATCAGTTGCATATATATTGAAATAAGAAAAAGTAAAACATGTGGGAAAAACTTATGATTGAAAGTGAAAGTAGTGATTTGGCCAAAATGAAAGTAGGGTAGAAATTAGCCCTAAGCATTTATTCAAGATTCAAATCCTACCATTGGCATGTTAATATGGATCTCAAAAGAAAAAGCACTGATGGATTGTCCTGGGACAAGCACATTTTATTAGAATAATAATGGTCTATAAGCAGTTAAAGTTATTTCATGTTTGATGTGGTGCAAATTTTTTAATTCAATTTGACTTTTACAAAGAAATGCGTTGTAACCAATGGGAAGAATAATTGTGGTCTGAGGCCTGTATACCTTTGACAACCTTACATACAATAACCTCCCCAGTAGGACTTAATATGAATGGTATGATTGTTCCAGTCAGAAACTATAACCATATCAGTAGAAGTTACTACTATGCCTCCAGGATTGGAATTATCAGAACTACCATTATAAGTCCATCGGAGTTGTCTCCCTTTATCTATCACCACCACCCTCCCTTTTTCATACAAAGTATTATCTAAGCTATCTACAACATATATACAGTTATCTTTAGTACAGATTCTGGCTGGCCATGTGAAGAGTCTCTGATTGTCTGTATCATACCCATAGGTACGTAGTATGATTCCCTTCTGGCTCATTTGTACAACTATTCTTACACTGTCTTCTGTTGGACTCGATATAACTTCTGATTCACTTAATCCTACAAAAATTTCATTTTGTTTATTTCCATGAACACCAATTGTAAATGAAGGAGACACTGTCCTAAGGTGTCTTTATTTGTCCATCTTTTATAGTATAAAGTTTTATTCTTGCTGCATTGATTATATCAGTAAATCTCCATTGCCCATCATTGCAATGTCATACACTGAAAGTTCTACTTTTCTTTCACACTTCATCTGTATTTCTCTAATGTTACCTTCTGTAAGACTTTATTCCAAAAAGGTTCCTGTGAATGCTGATTTTTCATCACACTTTATGAATATTACTGACATCTTAATTTCATAAATTTGAAGAAGTTGGAAATCTGGAATATGATAAACAGATCCAAAGTGAAAACTGATTGGTTGATTTGAAGGTTTTCCTGGTATGAATTTTCTTTGTTTAAGGTCTACATGTCTAACACTTTTATCTGCCATTGATTTGTCTATAGAATTGCTAGTAGCAAATATTTCAGAAGCAGATGGGGAACACAGTGATTTGTCCAACTGACTTTTCCTCTTTTCCAGTCCATCTCTTCTTTGTCTCACAGAAGTAATTTCCTTCCTAATTTCCTCCTCTGTTGGTTTCCATTGTTTATCCAGATCTGATAAAAGGCCATCAGCATATTTTATAATGTTATCTTTAGTTTCTAATGTTTTTTCTATAATTTGCCCTCTGTTTTCTATATTATAATTGTTTATTTCCTTCAGACAGGATCATTGCAAGTTGTCTTCTTTCTCCTGGAAGTGAGGGATTTCGGTTTGAATTGTGTGTTTCATGTTCCTTATAATTTTCAGTTTCTTAATTATCATAAATTTGATCCAGTTTACAAAAAATTATGAAATTTATTATCTAGAACTAAACAATCAGAACACACTGGCCTTTTACAATCCTTGTAATACAATACAAATTTCTGATCACTGTGTATTGTACAAGGCTGTTTGGTTAAGTCTACTTTACGGGTGGTCTCTTTTGATTTGAGCGTCACTGATGAGTCTTTTGTAGACAAAACGAGTATCTGGCGCAAATAAAAAATTTCAATCCTGGTATCTATGATGAGTTTATTTTCTACCGCATCTTTACTGCCACAGTCTTCCAGTTTAATAGCTATATGGTCATTTGATAGTGCAATATTTGAATGAATTCGAGAATTACAAAGTTTACACAGAAACAAATCACAGTTAATACACTTCCATTTGATATCAGAAGATTCTTTACAAAATAGACATGCAGAAATAGTCTGTGCTTTTTCTGCAGATACGTTGGCCATGATATGAAGATGAGTGTTTTAGTTGATGTTGATTATATACTTTTGTAGTCGAATAGAAACATTGTTGATAATATATATTTTTTTGATATAGATAATATAAGGCAATACTAGTTTTATGTTTTTTGTTCTTTGACTTTTTCACTGCCATTTTGTCCTATTTGTAATTATTGAAATTCTAGCATCTTGAGATGAAATGCAAAATATTCTTTTGCATTCTCCTGAAAAAACCTGATACACATGATACCAGGGTCCTAAATCTTGCCTCTCTTTCAAATTCTAAAATTATGATGATATGGCCTTACATGACTAATATAAAGTTGTACAGATAGGATAATATTTATCTAAATGATGTTTAACCGTATCTGTCTCAGTTTAAGAACCTTGTCAGGAGTTGTATTTTATTCAGTAGTGTTTTTACACAATATTTTTTTCTTCTGGCTGATTTTACTGAGTATCAAACCTCAATGCAGTAAACACTCCTGTTATTGGTATAAAGTACAGACTGATTGCAATTATGAACATTTCCAAAAAAAAGGGTTTTCAAAACCAAGTATACCTCCAAAGATAAAGATAAATGTATTTTTTTTTAAAGTAGAATTGGCTACTAAAGGGTTGGATGCTATCAATAGTAGCAATATTTTCCATTTGTTTGATGTGTATGAGCTTTTGATTTTGCCATTTGATTAGGGAGTTTCCTTTTTGAATTTTCCTTGGAGTTCAGTATTTTTGTGATTTTACTTTTATCCACAAAAAAAATCTAATATAATAATTTATTTTCATTTAACATAAAGTTATTTGTGAGAAAGAATAAAACAAATTGGAACAAAGGAATAACCTTTCCATTGTAATAAATAAACACGAACCTTTAAACAGGCTCATTAGTAAAGGTTATCTTACCAATGTTGTAATTAGATCTTTGAATATAGTTTACATTGGCACTAATATCGATTTTGTCATCAGCAAATTAAAACATAACTAAATTTGTATTTTTTTCAAGTGGGATGTATAAAGACACACCCACGTTCGTTTAGATCTATAAAGAGGTTAAACTCCTAACTATCCTACTGTCTGTCGATACATTTATTTTTGGCATTGCACTAGTCATGTCTTCTTTGACTGTCCATGACGTTAAAATACTAAATCCCTGGGATGTGTTTTAGTTGATTTTAGTCTCTGATGCATGATTTTTTATTATTAATTGTTTTGGCTTTTAACTAGCTGTCAGTAACTGCGAGTACTCTCAAATCGTACTTTCTTGTTTATTTGACCTGTTGATACTAATTGTATTGCTTTTTTGTTATTTAATGTTATTCAGGGTTATATCTGGTCTATATACCAGCTTTGATAAGTGTTTGGTATAACTATAAATTTTTACTTCGTACTATGAACATCAAAATTATTTATTTTGTAAAAGTATTTCCTTTCTCTATTGGAACTGTACACGTATACCTAACAACAAAATTATTTTCATTAACCTGTGTTTAAAGTTATTGCAAATGGATGGTATTTTTGTTCGAGCATATTGTTTTTCTTTTATTGTTTAACATTTCTTACCTATATAACTTGTTACTTTTATTATTCTTCCCTTAGTTTATTTATTTTGTATTCTAAATTATTTATTTTGTAAAAATATTTCCTTTCTCTATTGGTACTGTACACGTATACCTAACAACAAAATTATTTTCATTTACCTGTGTTTAAAGTTATTGCAAATGGATGGTATTTTTGTTCGAGCATATTGTTTTTCTTTAATTGTTTAACATTTCTTACCGATATAATATGTTACTTTTATTATTCTTCCCTTAGTTTATTTATTTTGTATTTACATTGTGTCATAGGTCAAATTTATTTGTTCAGTGTATTTTCAATGGTGTTAATATGTCCTTTGATTGAGTTAAGCTATTTCAGTTGATATTTTATAGTGTGTCTTTCTATGTTGTGATGTTACACTATTGTTTCAGGAAAAAGGGTGAAGGTTTGGTACCATTAAAACGTTTAAACCCGCTGCATTTGTTTGCACCTGTCCTAAGTCAGGAATCTGATGTTCAGTAGTTTTTGTTTGTTGATGTGGTTCATAAGTGTTTCTCGTTTCTCGTTTTTTATATAGATTAGACCGTTGGTTTTCCCGTTTGAATGGTTTTACACTAGTAATTTTTTGGGGCCCTTTATAGCTTACTGTTCGGTGTGAGCCAAGGCTCTTTGTTGAAGACCGTACTGTGACCTATAATGGTTTACTTTTATAAATTTTGACTTGGATGGAGAGTTGTCTCATTGGCACTCATACCACATCTTCTTATATCTAATTGAGACAATTTCAGTCTTCAATTATTGATAATATCCTTCAACTGCCCAGAGTCATAAATGAATGTCTGTAGAATGAGATGTTGCAATATAGCCTTTTTGCCCAGACTTGTTAAGCAATGGCAATTAATTCATTCTGTTAATTTTCTTGAATCTTAAAAATCTGCTGTCATGTAACTTTGTGTTACTTAATAAGAATGTGTTTGGGAGAATTTAACAGGCTCCCCCCATCCTATAAAAAAGGCCAGGAAGACCTACAGTGTCTGCTGTATACAATTGTTTAGTTTAAGATGCTTGTCAGAGTTCAATTAAGTACATTTTGAATGATCAAAAACATACAATTTGTAGTAATAAATCATCTGGGGTAGTATCACAGACTCCAACCAAAAGGTGGTCACTTTGACCTACATTTTTTTACATGAAGAATAATTTCAGTTTTCCTGATCAAAACTATTATATAGTATGTCGGTTCAATATACTCTCCCATGGGTACTAGAAATGAAGTCTAAAAGTAATCAGCATTTTTGTTTATTCATTTGATACATAAGTTAAAGATTTATTTGTTTATTTTGTAGGTTACAACTGTTCATTGTTTGCCTATGGACAGACTGGTTCAGGGAAGTCTTACTCCATGGTGGGATATGGACCTAACAGGTAAGTCTTACTCAATGGTGGGGTATGGACCTGACAGGTAAATTTGACATGGAATTTTAACATAGTAGCTTAAAGACCTAACATTTCCATATTAGAACATACTCACCCCTTCTCGTCCAATGGAAAATCAATTTTCCCTTCTGATTTTCATAGTACATGGCTTCCCATGCACTATAAAATGCTATACATGAACAGGCATGGAAATCTTTATCAGTAATCGTAATCAGCTGTAATCAATTACATTTTGCAATGTAATCACATGTAATCAGTAATCATGCAATTTCTGATTACAAGTAATCATAATTTAATGGATTACAATGTAAAAATCAGGTTTAATCATCATTACTTTTTGATTACTTAAGATTACATTCATATGATTACTTGCTGAATACAAATTTTGTATATGAAAATAGTTATTGACATACAATATAGAAATAAGAAGATGTTTTAAGTATGAATGAAAAAATTATCAAACTAGTATTCACTATGATTAATCATAGTTCACTATGATTGATCATATCTTTCATATAACAAGTTTAGTATAACCAAGTTGGGCATGTAGAGTGGTAATGTGTGATTTATTTTGTAAACAGTTCTCTAAAGGAATTTACCTTTCCAAAGTTTCATTGTGAGATTGAGTCCTTGTGATAAAAGAATATGCTTTGAAAGCATTATATGTTCCCTGATGTAATGCTTCTAATATTAACTCCAATTTTAGTTTACACAATGTTTTGTTAAAACTACAGGAAAATTCAATAGCATAGACCATTAAGGGAATTCAGTTCCAAATTTGATTTTGATTATCAACATAAATGAGCCCACTTAATTATTCATGGACATTTTATTCCTTTTACAATTTGTATAAATTTTGTATTCCATAAATAATTCAATATGTGCTTTCTGACTATAGTTATTTCAAACAATTATATACATTATGAGTATAAAGTACTTATAACTTTATTGATATTGCTATTAAAACAATAAATTTTTAATACCAAAGCTCACCTATTGTTTTTTCTAAAATATTGAAGTAGTGATTAACACCTGTAAAAACATATGTCTGTGTCAATTATATCCCCAGAGACAATAAAAGTACTTAATTAAATTTTCATTATTTGTTCAGTTTTTTTGTTAATTGGAAATTTGCAGTTTGCTAAAATTTGTATATAAACAGTGTTATTTCTTTTACAGAGAAAGGGCACTTGTCTTATTGTTATTAAAATTTACACATGTTACACAGTTCCTAGTCTAAATTATTGATAAGATGAATAATAAAAAGATATAAAAAACACAAATTTTCACAAAAATTAGCTTTTTCGTGAGGAAAAAAAGTTTATAAGAAATTCTTAAATATTACAATATACAATGTAATCATAAGTAATCCAAAGAAATCCTGACTACTTTAAAGAAAAGTAATCTAATGTAATTGATTACATTTGATTTTAGGTGTAATTGTAATGTAATCAATTACATATGATTAGCAATGTAATTGTAATTTAATCGATTACATTTTAAAGTAATCAACCCCATCCCTATACATGAAGGAATTTTCATTGCATATTAATTATGAAAGTGAACTCTTAATAACTACACTAATGAAGTGTACAATAACCTGTGGCAATTTCCATAGGAACAGCCTACTGATTAAAAATGTAAGAGAATAGAATTATAAAAAGAAACATTTTGAATATTGCAAATGTTTATAATGATATATATATGTAGGACTCTGAAGTGCGATGGTACTCTAAAGTGCGATGGTCTAAGCCAAAGTGTGATGGTCTACGCCAAAGTGAGATAGTTGTTTGTTTTTTAAGTGCAATCAGATAACACGCTAAAGTGCGATGGTATGACACGCTAAAGTGTGATGGTATATAACACGCTTAAGTGTGATGGTATAACACGATAAAATTTATCCACCCCATATATATCATATTAGGTCACTAGCATACGGTGTAACGAATTTATCTTACCACCTATTTTAACGTGTGGTTTTAGGCTAGTGGCCTATCAAAGTGATTAAGTCTTCAATACTTAGTATTAAGAACCTAGTTCCATTTGTCTAAACAAAAAACAAACGCCAACAATAACATTACTCGAAAGCTTTAAATGTGTTTTATGAATTAATTTCATCATTTAATCGTTCATCAGCAATTTCTTCGTCTGTTGAAACCTTTCAAATTTATCTTCAACACCATGTTGTTATAGGGACGTTACACCACTAATAGCCATGTATTGAAATAAGCCTGCCCACTAACGTAGTATGAAATATACACGGTCTCCATGTGGTTGCTTTTAAACTATCATATTCCTAGAAAATGAATAAGAGTTTAGATAAAACTTGTTATGCGTCATGGGCACAGGCTTTACGCTGAAGGCCGTATGATTATTAGTTGCATACATCAACGACATTTAGGGTTAGATGGATAGTTCATACCAAATCTTATTTTTATTAATAGTACAATAGTTGTACAAAAAGTGTAATAGTTTGTATATCTGGAATTTAGTGGTAGTCGTTTGTTTGTATATTTCATATTTGCTGTTCGTTTATTGATTTGTATTTAAATCAGGTTGTTATTTTTATACGACCGCAAAAATTACAATTTTTTGGTCGTATATTGGTATCACGTTGTAGATCTCGTCATCGTTGTCAGCGTCGTCCTAAGACAGATGGTTTCCGGATAACAACTTTAGTATAAGTAAATAGAAATCAATCAAATTTTAACACAAGGTTTATAACCACTAAAGGAAGGTTGTGAATGATTTTGGGGGTTATGGTCCCAACTGTTTAGGAATTAGGGGCCAAAAAAGGGGCCCAAATAAGCATTTTTGTAGTTTCCAGACAATAACTTGTGTTAAAGTGTATGAATCTCTCTGAAATTATACCACAAGTTTCCATACAACAAAGGGATGGTTAGGATTGACTATGGGGGGTTATGGCTCAAACCATTTATGAATTAGAGGCAAAAAAGGGGGAAAAACAAGTTTTTTTCTGGTTTAAGGACAATTAAGACAATTTAAAGCAGTCTAAGGGAGGTAATCCAATCCCAATTTAAAACAACAATGTTTGATTACCTCCCTTACACTGCTTGTAAATTATGTATTAAGAAATGATGATTGTCTTGAGGTAATTAGCTGTCAATTTATTTTTAAAAGTTACTATTAATTAATATTAATTTTAGCCATGACTATGTATGTCATTTTATATTTTAAGGCTTGTATGATGTATTTAAAAGGGTAATTATGGTTGCAAATTTTATTAAAATTTGAATTGAGATTATGACTATATCTTGAGGAATGATTTTTATGCCCCCGCTGTAGCGGAGGGGGCATTAAGTTTTACCCTTGTCCGTCTGTACGTACGTACGTACGTCCCAAAATTGTTTTCTGTTCTCTAACTTGAGTTTGCCTCAACCAAATGTTATGAAACTTATACGCAATGCTTATTTCCACAAAACACAGATCAAGTTTGAATTTTGGTGGCGTCACTTTAACCGTTCTAGAGTTATGCACCTTTATAAATGGGAGTTTCCGTTCTCTAACTTTAAGTGTGCCTCAACCAAATGTTATGAAACTTATTCACAATGCTTATTACCACAAAACACAGATCAAGTTTGAATTTTGGTGGCCTGACTTCACCCGTTCTAGAGTAATGCCCCTTTATAAATGGAAAAATTGCAAAATTTTTAGTTTCTGTTCTTTTACTTAAGTTTGCCTCAACCAAATGTTATGAAACTTATACACAATGCTTATTACCACAAAACACAGATCAAGTTTGAATTTTGGTGGCGTCACTTTAACTGTTCTAGAGTTATGCCCCTTTATAAATGGAAAAATTGCAAAATTTTTAGTTCTCTAACTTTTACTTAAGTTTGCCTCAACCAAATGTTATGAAACTTATACACAATGCTTATTACCACAAAACACAGATCAAGTTTGAATTTTGGTGGCGTCACTTTAACCGTTCTAGAGTTATGACACTTTATAAATGAAAAAATTGCAAAATTTTTAGTTTCCTTTCTCTTACTTTAGTTTGCCTTAAACCAAATGTTATGAAACTTATACACAATGCTTATTACCACAAAACACAGGTCAAGTTTCAATTTTGGTGGTGTCACTACAACCGTTCTAGAGTTATGATCCTTTATAAATGGAAAAATTGCAAAATTTTTATTTTCTTCTAAATATCAGGTAATATTTAAAATTGGAGTTATCTTCCTTTGTCCATGATTATAGTTGAATCAACTACAATCAATGCTTTATACAATGCAATGTTTAATTTTGACTTCCACTGACAAAACGCAGATGGAGTTGAATTTGGGTAATGTCACTTTAACCATTATTGAGTTATGCCCATTTATAAATCGAAAGATTGCAAAATTTTTAGTTTCCATTCTGTAACTTTAGTTTGCCTCAACCAAATGTTATGAAACTTATACTCAATGCTTATTACTACATAATACAGATTAAGTATGAAATTTGGTGGTGACACTTTTACCATTCTTGAGTTATGTTCCTTTATAAACATAAAAATTGTTGAATTTTTCGTTTCCGTTCTATAACTTTAGTTTGTCTCAACCAAATGTTATAAAACTTATACACAACCGTTCTAGAGTTATGCGTGTTTACAAATAGAAAAAACAAACGACAAAACTACAAACATCAGTCTATAAAACACTATAAATAGAAAACTAACGACTATAAGCAACACAAATCCAACTGAAAACCAGGGGTGGTCTCAAGTTCTCAAGGAAAGGTAAGCAGGTCCTGCTCCACATGTGACACCCTTTGTTTTAATCATAATAAATACAAGTAGGGTGATAAGTCTCATTATATATGTGATCATTACAAGTGAGGAAATATAACAGTAAATGTCAATAATTCCATCAAGTTTTCAACAGCCAATTTATAAAACTATTACCATTTTGGAGAGATTTATATAAATTGAGAAAATATCAAGAAAAAGTTGCCCTAAGAGATATTCTATAGATTATAAAATCCATTTAAAATGCTTCTACTGCAAACTTTTTGTAATTTTAGCTATATATATAGCTATTGTTCATGTTAAATATTGACTGAATAATTAATGTTAAACTAACCGAGGATTATAATTGTCTGTAGAGACATTGTTACATAGTATTTACTCTATTCAAGAGTAACTTATGATCTTACATTAGGGAAATGTTGGTTTAAAATGCTGACGTCATGTAATATTTGTGTACATTTATCAATAATTACATTGATGTTAAAACCATGTTGATTAAAACATCTATTATCTATACCTGTGCCGTCTACTAAGATCCTAGTAAACTATCATAGATATATATATTACATCATGTCTTCCATTAGAGAATATTAAAAAAACTCCCATCAAATTTTGATGTCATAAAGTATAATGTTCAATACCACAAGGTTACATTAATGGATTGTTTGAAATGTCTCAAAATCTATATTTAAAAAAGAAAGATATGGAATATGCCAAAGAATAAAAACTCATAATTAGAATAAAAGACAAACAAGTCTACAAAACAGTACATGAAAAAAGTAAACATTGGGCAACACTTAACCCCACCAAAATCAGGGATGATCTTGGGACTCAGCACGGGAAAGGTTTGCAGATCCTACACTGCATGCGACACCTGTTGTGTTACCTATAAGAATAAGCTGATAAGTTATATCAAGTGATTAGGCATCGCACAATAGAAGAATGGTTAATCACTCTTATCTAACCTTCGGATATTACCAAAGCAATAAACCATCAGTTATCTAAATTTTCTTACCCTGAAACTTGGACCAAATGTGAAATTTGAAACTGAAACAAAGTTTTTCAGGACAAAGGATAGATGAGACTGTTACTGATAAACACAACACAGACATTGAAAAATATTAAAAACACAAAGTAAAAACGCTGAAAACTAAGACAAAAATGGTTACCTACAGTTGTAAACTTCTATGTCATTTGGTCTCTGGTAGATAGTTGTCTCATTGGTAATCATACCACATCTTCTTATCTTTATAAAATCTACCTTTGAATGATCTATATTTCTGTTGATTTTTCTCATAAAGAAAATATTCCCATCTTATACCTGCCTAAATTTTGGAGCTGAAAAAATCTTTCATCTCCATTGAGTGGGTGAGATTATGCATAACGACCTTTTTCAATCAAAATTATGTTACAGGATATATTTACGTATTTTAATATTTAAAAGCACAATAGATAAAATGTACTTATCTATACATGAATTTATTTAGTAATATAACAAATGGGAGACAGATGATACCAAAGGGACATTCAAACTCGTAAATTAAAAACAAACTGACAACGCCTTGGCAAAAAAAAACACCTAGAGACAAACAACAGTACACAAAACACAACATAGAAAACTAAAGACTGAGGAACACAAACCCCACCAAATACCGGGGTGATAACATTCTTGTTCAGATGGGGTTTGTTTTTACTATGTGAATTGTTTTTGCAATACAGAGAAACTAAGTCACAAAAAAACAACTCAAATAATGAAAAGGGGTTAAAGTCTGTTGATTATTTGTGAAAGAGGGAGATTTTAACCTGCATCCTAAGTGACAGATCCAAATGGGGAGATTTCAATATTTTTTATCGAAAAAGACGCGAGTCTCAGTCAGAGAAATGGTGTGTTGGCATTTAGACATATGAATTAAAGGTCATATTTGGAAATTTTAATGAAATAGGGATAGCAAGCCAACAAGCAACATGAGGCACTCAACACACCATGAACAACCAGATGCTGTATTTTATTTCTAGCAAAGTCTTTTTTGTTTGAATCAGATCACATAATTTAAATTTCGAGTAAGTGAATTTAAACAAATCTAATGTTTAATTAAATATTTATATTGTCTTATATTGAATTTCAATTAAATCTGTTTACTTTTCAAACTGCCTAAATAAAGAAGCTTTTTGTATATTTTCTCTGAAACATGAATCAGTTTAGTTTTGAAACACATATCCAGTAATATCACAGATATTTCACAAGATTTAAAAAAAAAATATAGCTATAAAAGGCAAATATTTACTTGGTTTAAACAAAATTTTGTCCATTACCAAAAAAAAGCTAATAAAAACTCAGTTCGAAAATGGTGTGCTTAAAAACTAGTGCAAACATTCTCTTTGATGAGCTGTAGCAAAATTACTTGAATTTCAGTTTATGTTTCATGGTTTATGTTTCATTGGCAAAACCTTCTTTTCCTTTAATATTATTGATCTGTTTATCTACAGGACTGTTGGGTTATCCAACCCTTGTACACTAAGAGTGATGATTAGCTTAAAACAAGACTTGCTAAATAGGAAAACTTCCTTAAATAGTAAATCTTATCTTATAAAAGCCAGTAAATATTCTGTTTGATTTCCTAATTGATTGCTGCAACATAAATATGATGCTTAAAGTAAAAACAATTACAATTCATTAATGTTTTATATTTCAGAGGAATTGTACCAATCACTTGTGATGAATTATTTCAAACAGTAGAAAACAACAGTGATACTAATAGGGTTTGTATAATTTATATTCTGAAGAAGTAAAAATTTAACAAAAATCAATATTCTTTTAAATATGTTGTTCAAAAAAGGAAATAAATAATAAATGTACATGTCATGAGACAATAGTTGCCAAAAAACACATTCCTTTGGAGAATATGGGAATTAGCAGAGATTTGCCCGAGACAATAAAGAAAAAATTAATTATTCATTATTGGGAAATAACAAATTTATCATAACAGTGCTTTTGTTGTTGTGCTTCAATATCTTGACTGTTACTGGAAGGTGTACAACAATGAGTAAACCTTACACAAGAAAATGTAAAAAATAAAAATGAACAATCCCTAGGATTTCACTTGTAGTCCTTGATGACCCAAACCTAAAATGTCTGTACCAAGTCAGGAATATGACAGTTGATTTCCATTCGTTTGATGTGTTTGAGCTTTTGATTTTTCTATTTGATAAAGGACTTTCTGCGGATTTTGGTATTTTAGTTAATTTACTTTTTTCTGAAGATACATAACTGGAAGTTGTTGAATTAAAAATGGTCTTTCTGTAAGTAGTTACTTAATATCATCCACACTATAGAAACAGTCAATGATGCAGGACCCAACAACAACACAAACACACACACAAATCAAAATAAATAAGACCTTCATAGATGAGCATAAAGTCTTGAAAAGACAGCAGTTTGTCCATATTTTTAGCTCTAAACTGCCCTAAAGTCAAGAAAAATAGGGAATAAGACATAAGAATGCAACATTTGATAATAAGAGCAAAGATTAGTCAGACCTGAGTAAGAATAACTTGTCCATAAATAAAATTTTGTTATAATCTGAAGAAAGGGCATGTTAACTAATCTTAAACTAATTTTCTTTTTTTAGAGATTTGAAGTAACATTTTCTATGTTAGAAATATATAATGAACAAGTTAGAGATCTCCTGTCAAAGGATAACCCCAAAGGTGGCCTCCAAGTCAGACAGAATCCCAAACTCGGATATTTTTATGTAGAAAATTTAAAAAAAGTCCCTGTGGGGAGTTACAAGGAAATTGAAAAAAGAATGGAACAAGGTAATTGGTTAAATTTTGCTGGTGGAGTCAAGTTGGAACAGTTAATGTTATTATGATTTTTAGCATTCTTAGTTTATTATGAATACAAAATAAGGAGATGTGGTATGATAGTCAATAAGTCAACTATAAAACAGAGTCAAAATGATGTTGAATTCAAACAATTATAGGTCACAGTTCAGCCTTTAATATGAACAAAACCCATACAGTATAGTTTATACTCTTAACCACAAATCACTATAGTGAGACAGAAACGCATTAAAATATAGAGATCTGTAACAAAGTTTATAGTCCTACTTAAGGACAAAATTAGACTTTGGCATCAACAAATGTGAAAGTCTCAATCTAGTAATACGATATATTTATTAACTAGTTAATGCCAGTCTGACAGTGCTGAGTGGGTGAAAATATGAATAAATACTACTAAAGTTGCCACTGTGGTTACAATTATTTTTAGGGACTATAGTTAGAATGTGGTATCGACAAATATGAATGCCATTAACTGTAGTGCCCACTGTGAGGGATGGGTAAACACGATGTATAGACAGGCAGTAAACTACGTCTATTTCGTTTGACTGTGTAATCTCAACTCAATATAATAACGTATTACATATTGATAGCACAATGTTAACTAAAGATATAGGGGCGTTAACAATGGTGAAATGAAAACGACATTAAAAGTAGCATTAACGTTTGACGTAAATTAAACTGTCTAGAAATCATCGACACCCACACTAAGGTTATAGTATATTTATTAAAAAAACTGCCACTAAGAATGTCGCATCAACATTTATGAATTTCATCAGTAGTTATGACTGTATTGAGGTAACATGTATTATATTTATTGTTTTCTAGGCACTGCCAGTAGGACTGTGGCATCAACCAATATGAATGCCACCAGCAGTAGAGCCCACACTGTAGTAACAATAACCTTTGACCAGATCATCAAAGATTCAGATTCAGGATCAGAAACAAAGAAAAGCAGTGTGATGAACCTCGTTGATTTAGCAGGTACGGCCTATAACAAGAAATATTGTGTAGACATCAGCGAAATATCAACTAAACAATACAAAAAAACAAAGAGCCACACTTATCTTCTACTTGCACCAAAGTTTTTAAGATGTAAAAGTGAAAGACCGCCAGTGACATTTTTCAATATGTCACATGATTTTGAACAATAATCAGGTCAGCATGTTTACATCACCTTGTTTGTGGTAAACATTTGGTCTAACATTGTAAACCATTGATAAGTCTAACTTAAGACTGATTACAGGTTTGTACCAAACAAACATACATATATAGAAGAAAACATCTTTGTAGATTATGCTGTAAGAACCCTCATGTTAACAGAAATGTAAAGAAACATCTTATCTTTTTATTGTTGGTTGTTATAGAAGGATCTTGTTTTGTTTTCCTGTTTTAATAACAATAACTATAAAACTAAATCTTCCAGTTTGAAATAACTAAAGATGTTATGAAACTAGTTGTGATGAATAGCAATGAAAACTAAAGTTTTTTTCATGACAGTAATACAAATTGCTTCAAGTGAAACAATATTGTTTTGCTTCATTTATGTACAAATCATCTGTAACAGAAACATTAAAAGTGTCGTATTATACTTTAGGATCTGAGAGAGCTGACAGTACTGGTGCTGTGGGAGACAGACTGAAGGAGGGTGCTAATATCAACAAATCACTTTCAGCACTGGGAAATGTTATTTCTGTATGTAATAGTTTCCAATATCATTTGTAAAAATTACTAAATAATAGTAAATGAGACAGCACCCAACAACCTAAATAATACCAAAATGTACATCATATAAATGTAATATAAGGGAAAGGTTAGGGTTAGGGTATACTATGTAAATTTTCAATGGGGTTAAATTAAAGTACAGTTACATTTTGACTGTACATGTTAAAAAACACTGTAAACTTAAAGTGGCATAGAATAATATTAATACATTTTGTTCACAAAACTTATTTAATTGTTCTCAGTTAACTAGGGGGGTGTTTAACAACCTTGGCTACCCATGAGGGTCTCGCACAGTTGGCTTATATGATTAAAGTACAGTTACATGATGTCATAAAAAGCCTACACACTTCAAAAATAAATCATTGTGATAGAATCAGAATTCTAATATGATGCCCATATTTTGACTGTTACATGTTAAAATGCTCTGTAAACTTAAAGTGGTGTAAAATAATATTAATGCATTTTATTCACAAAACTTCATAAGTTGTTCTCAATCAAGTGAGATTCAATCAGTTATATGCTATATCTATTGGATATTTATCAATTATTTGATGAATTTATTTCAGGCTTTAGCAGACTTATCAATGGGGACAAAGAAGAAAATAGTAGTTCCTTATAGAGACTCAGTATTAACCAAACTTTTACAGAATGCCTTAGGTGGTAATAGGTAAGGGAAGATAATCCTTAATCATAATTCCTTAGTAAAAGGGAGATAATTTTCACTTTTGTTAACTTGTAAAAGTAATAAAATGTTAAAAATTAAATAGACAATGTTTTCTCAGACTAGAAATATCAGTTGGTACACCTATGGATCTAGTATAAGTCCTAACAAACAGTTTCAGAATGCATGATCTCTTGCAATGTCAAAATATAAGTATAACTAGTATGCAGGACCATAAGCGATGATAACTTGATAGCAATATAGGTCGATATGTTTATTATTTTTATATTTCAGTAAAACCATAATGATTGCTGCATTATCACCTGCTGATATTAATTATGATGAAACACTTTCTACGTTACGATATGCTGACAGAGCCAAAAAGATTAAAAACAAAGCTGTTATAAATGAAAATCCAATGGATAAACTCATCAGGGAACTTAAGGTAAAGTTTATATACCCTGAGGTCCAGTAGAGGGCTGATGAGTAATGTTGTGGTATGAATATTCAGAGCAATTATGTATTTTCTGTGGCAGAGTCTTAATTCTATTGCATGGGTTTGGTATTAAGATAAATTTGCGTCTGCATGTTCATATAATTTCAAAACAGAACATGGGGGCCTTAATTTGTGAGTAATTGCATACACATATATATATAGAAAGCTGGTAATAAATAATTTTCAATCTTTTTTAGATAAGAACATTGTTATGGTTCATGTTCAAACCTTTTAAGCTCTTTGTATCTATTGGTATGTACTATGATTAGCACCATTTTATAGTAAAACAAAGGGTGTTGTCAGCATACAATAAATAAATCGACAAATTATTTCCAGGAAGAAAATGAGAGATTGAAAAAGTCTATGGATGGTGGTGGACTTATTGGACATGATATGGGAATGACACCTGAGGGTAAGAAAAGCAACATGACATATTAATTTAATTCTTTGTGTTCTTAGATTAAATACTGTCTTGATGATGAATATTACACATTCAAAGTGAACTTTGTGTGGAAAAGGTAGCAATTTAATTTGAATTTTAAATTCCTAATGTGACACAATTTTTAAGGTGTACAAATATATACTTATAGCCTTACATTTTTATTAGAGATTTTTAATTGAAACCAACTCCCAGAGAAATATTCATTGATCTCAAGCACCTTTTTATGTACAACTAGTATTGCAAATTATGTCAAATGTGTGTACATTATGTTTTGTTGAAATTAAAACATGGTTCTGTATACATGGAGAAAAAAACAACATCATATTAGAATCTTTATTTAACAGAAGTTGAAAAAATGAGAAAACAAATGGAAGAAGAAATCCGGGCACAGTTATTTGCTAACCAGGAAATGTTGGCACAGAATACACAGAGCTGGGAAGAACAGGTTAGTACAGCACATATTCACTAAAAAGGGGGGAGAAATCCGGGCACAGTTATTTGCTAATCAGGAAATGTTGGCACAGAATACACAGAGCTGGGAAGAACAGGTTAGTACAGCACATATTCACTAAAAAGGGGGGAGAAATCCGGGCACAGTTATTTGCTAATCAGGAAATGTTGGCACAGAATACACAGAGCTGGGAAGAACAGGTTAGTACAGCACATATTCACTAAAAAGGGGGGAGAAATCCGGGCACAGTTATTTGCTAACCAGGAAATGTTGGCACAGAATACACAGAGCTGGGAAGAACAGGTTAGTACAGAACATATTCACTAAAAAGGGGGAGAAAATACCAAGGTGACATTCAAAAACCATAAGTTAAGGAAAAACCAAAAAGAAATCATTTAAAAGACAACAAATCACAAAACACTACACAGAAAACTAAAGATTGAGTAATACAAACCCCAACATATAAAACTGATACTCCAGTAGAGTAGGCAGTTCCTACTCCTCAAGTGGCAACTGTGGCATTGCTCAGGGAAATTTAACATTTAATGATAATTCACATTCACTATAAATATGTGTCCTTTTGTCCTTATATACAGCCTAGCTTTTGGAAAATATGTACAAATTTTCTTCATGGGACAGTAAGCTATGGAACCGTGGTTGGGCAGCTAGGGAACAGTTAACAATTGACTGTCATAGTCTTAGTTCTGGCATTCTCTAATGTTTCACAATTATAATCCTTATGATGGCAAAACAAAAAATTAGAACTACTACAAATTATTATTGCTATAATTACAGTTAGCAGCTGCAAGAACAGAGACAGAGAATATCACAGACAATACAGCTGCTAGGAAGGCTAAGGAACCTCATCTGATCAATCTAAACGAGGATCCTATGTTATCTGGAGTCATATGTCATTTTCTGTCTCAGAAAGAGACTACAGTCGGAAGAAAAGATGCTAAACCTGTACCTAGTATATGTCTCAGTGGATTAAGGTAAGTGTCAAAGGCTATAGGTTATTTTCCCTTTATTAAGCCTGTTCCCAGTATATGTCTCAGTGGATTAAGGTAAGTGTCAAAGGCTATAGGTTATTTTCCCTTTATTAAGCCTGTTCCCAGTATATGTCTTGGTGGATTAAGGTAAGTGTCAAAGATCATAGGTTACTTTCTGTCGCACTGACTTTTCCCAACATATGTCTTGGTTATTTCCTAATATTTCAAGGCTAAAGATTAGAAAAAAAGCTCCTGAAGTTGTATCATGTGTGTTGTGTAAACAAAGGATTCTTATTATCTATTAGTTGCAGGGCATTAATTAGTCAGAGTTTGGCACATACCTCAGGAAATCATAACGATTAAGAGTGAAGATTATTATTTTTCTGTATTTTCTTTTTGTTTTTGTTTGCCTAATGTCCAGTGGCAAATATTTCATCCATATTCTGGATTGTCATATACCATGAGAAGTTTTTCTATATATTTACTAGCGTAAAATTGTTTTTATTTATTTTACAGCTTATTTTTCCTATGACTTAATATCTATGATTATTTTGTTTACAAATAAAACACAGTGTACAGTTTCTTACTATGAATTGAACTTATATCACAAACATCTCTCTGGTCAATGTTACTGCATATATGAGTTTAATAACTTTTTAAAGATAGAAATCAGTTGATACCTTTACCAACAAAATAATTGATTTTTATTCCAGTATTCAAAAGCAGCATTCTGTGATATATAACAGTAACGGAACTGTAGAAGTAGAATCGGTGGCTGGTACAGGCTCAAAAACAAAGGTCAATGGTATACCACTACAGGGCAAAAAGGTTTTATGTCATAAAGACAGAGTTCTGTTTGGTAAGTACACATCATCTTAAATTGAGGTCAGCCACAAAGAGACAAGAAAATCTATGTTGTAAAGACATCCATCTGGTTGCTAGTGCTTTGGTACTGATATGACTTCCGTGATAAATAAAGTTTTGCTGTGAAGCTAACAGTTTATGAAGTATGTTCAACTACATTTTCATTAGGCAAATTACCTGATTCGTGTAAGCATTGAATGTGTTTAATCCTTGATTGCTTCAAACCAAAGACTTTAAACTGGTTTTTCTGATTCTCTGTTAAACAAGAATATATGAGTAGGAGCAGGTTGTTTGACTCAGAGTAAGAACGTTCCAGATGGATGACTGTTTTTCTTGTTGACAAATTCCTTGTGAGGTATTCTAATATGAAAATTTCAACTGTGCATTTTGGTCTTGTAAAAAGCTGGGTATCTTCACATAACACTAAAATGTGATCCTCGTTAGTATGAGTGCTCCAGATTTAGGGGAGTTTATAGTCTATGTGGAGATAATGGTTGGCATGCCAATAAACCAGTGTTGGTAAAGATAACAGAATCTGGTCACAGGAAAATAAAACTGAAAATAGTATATAGCATAAAATTACAGGATGTTGTTATTGCATGAATTCTTATGAATATCCTGAGTTTCTACTTCAACAAAAACATTACAAAAATTCTAAATTTACAGTATATCAATGAATCAAAAATTAATATTTTACCACAGGTTCTAATCATATGTATGTGTTCATCAATCCAATGAAGAAGAGTGAAGCTGGAGATGATCTGCCAGCAGAAATCACTTGGGAATTCGCTCAGAAGGAAATTGCTCAGGTTAAAGGTTTTGCTACTGGTTCAGCTGGACTGACCAAAGGTTGGTATATATATATATCACTTAGGAATTTGCTCAAAATTCTAAAATCGCTTCGTAGGTTTTAAGCTTTGCACTTGGTCAGTGATACTGTCCAAAGTTTGTATACGAAATCTATTGAAATATACTCAGAAAAATTTTGTGCAGAGCTGTCATGTAATATCAATAAGTGTCATTTTTTTTCTTATAATGTTTTATTGTCTGTACTAATAAAGAAATTGCATGTAAAATGATTCATAGTTGTTGAGTTTAATATCAACTGTCTATTAGCACTTAGAGTGCTTTGATTTTTTTCTACAGATCAGCAAATTGCCCAAGAACAAGTATTAGAAATTCTACCTATGGTATCAGAAGTAAATGCTGTGTCAGAGGAATTAGATAAACATAAATCATTTGAAGTGGTGTTGATCGCCACAGCAGCGACTGATGGATCAGATCTATCTAACAACCAAGGCACAAAGTAAGTACATCATCAGACAGTCATGTAATATGAAACTTTTTACTGAACAAATCAAATCATCTTATCTTTCATTATTCAATCAAATTTAAACTTTTCCTTTTTAGTATTATTTTTTTCATAACCACTGTATGAACCCACAAATTTATTGTTGTTTTGAAATTCTCTCCCTTTATATATAATCAAATTTCTTATTTCTTCCACAACAATATAAAATTCCAAACAATAAAATATTTAATGGTCTGAATTGAAAGAGCATATTCTCAAAAGTCATATGCCAAATTTTTTAGAAAATACCTAAATTGGTCATTTATGTACTTTTTATTATCTAGTTATACCACTATTCTATATCAAAACTGTTTATTTACTTTTTTTCTATTATTAAACCAAAAGGAATGCAGATCAAAATGTCAGGTATATAACACTGTATAGAAAATGTTTTTAGCTTTTTATATCATAGAAGTGTTTTGAAATGATTAAATTGTCAAAGTATTAGTTAAATATGTCAGGAAGCAGTAAAGACCCATGCTGAGATGTGTCCAATTGACATGTTAGCCTATTATCTAGTATATAGTGGTAAAGATAAATCTTTCATTGGAGAAAACACAGCTATATTCTCAGAGTTCATATATGCTGTGCTGTAAAATATTTTTTTGTGTGTTTACATGTGTATATAGTATTTCTATGGAAGTGCTTAAATCTATTACTAGTAATTAGAATAAGTACATTATATACATTTAGAATTAGTGTTTTATTTAATGTTTATTTGATTTTGTCATTTCTGTTGTGTTGTTTGTGTCTTGTAATTATTGTTTTTCTTAGAGTTGCATCAAAATTGTTTTTGGAAAAGGAAAGTGCACAACCAACTGTGAAGATGTGCTTCCCTTTTCTTAATCTCACACAAAAGAATTTAAAATTATGTCATTATGTGCAACAATATCTCTTTATTCCTTAAAAACTATAATGATATACAAAAATAATTTGAAATCTTTTTTATGGTTAAAATATGGAAAATAAACACACAAGAATGGTCACTATATCATGTATACTTTTATAAAAGGATTGAAATAATTTCTGAATGAAAAATGACCCATAAATATTTGTTGACTGTGTGAATCTGATTATGTTATTGCATGCTCTTTCTATTAAGTTCACAGTGTTATTTGAATGGTTGGATTTTGAGCATGTTCATGCAAGAAATATTGATTGTTTTTATACACACTCTGTTTCATATTTTAATGTATTATGACTGATTGATTGATTGGTGTTAAAGGCCACTTTCAGCACTATTGTGCTATTTGGTGGCAGTCAGTTTTTATTGTTGAAGGAAGCTAGAGAGGCCGGAGAGAATCACCGACCTTTGGTAGGAAAACTGACAATTCTGGTCAATTAAGATTGGAGTCGGGCATACCTGGCACGTGCCGGATTCAAACTCACGACATCAGTGTTAACAGGCTAGTGATACAGTAGTTCTACTACTTAGACCACTAGGCCATCTAGGCCCCTAGTGTATATATTATAAACATTTTCAGTTGAAAAATAGGTATAAGATATATTTAACAATCTTATTGTTAGGAATATATATTTAGTACAGGAATGTTTAAAATGCTTGAATATATAACTTCCATAAAAATATGATATATATACATAGCAACTCAAGAAATGCACCATGCTTTACCTTAATTTTTGTTCAAATCAATCTTAAGTATATTGATCTGATGAAAGAAATTTCATTTCTGAACTGGAACAAGACTTTTAAATGAAAAAAGTTTAAAAAGTTTGATATTTAACATATTTCACAATGTACATCAGGTAGAAGTGTGCATTGTAAACAGAAATACAATAACAGGGATGACCAGAAGTGAGACATTATATCTGTATTTGTGTGAATGTGGTGCTGCAATATTTATTTTTTTGTTTGAATATGAATGAATGGAGATTTTGGTGATGATCATGAGACAGCAAATTGAAACTAACAATAGAAGTAACATAAAAACATTTATAGAGATCATCATAATAGACAAGTGTCAACACTATATGATAATCTATATAAATCACCCAATTCTAAAATTCTAAAATTTTGTCTTTTTGGCATCTTCAAACATTCGAAAAAAAAGTCTTTCTGCATTTATGTACAGATTCCATGTATGTCTTTATTTTCATGATTTAATACAATGTAGTTATTTAAGATTAATGTTTTTTGTTATTCAGAGTGATGGTGAAAATGAAGAATTTATTGAATGGTAACACATGGTTATGGGAACGTGGTAAATTTATGAACAGAAGATATTTAATACAGGTGAGAACCATATATGTAAGGGAATGCAACAATTATACCTGTCTGCCTACAATGCTGATCCCAACGAGTTTTGAGGCCAGATAGGTGTTGTGGATGTTAAGAGTCTTCTGTGAAATAAAACTTAAGAATTGTCATGTGAAAAAGGCCAGTAATAGATGTTGTTTGCTATAGAAACTTGAGTAAAAACCTGAACAATTGAATGTGTTAATGCTCAGAATGTCAAGTGTTTCTCTTCCCACCAATAACCCAACAAAACAAGATGTATATAAAAGTAAGAAGATGAGGATTGATTCCCAATGATACAACTATCCTACAGAGACCAAATGATGTAGATGTTAACAACAGTAAGTCACCATATGACCTTCAGTAATGAGCAAAATCAATGCTACACAGCAAGCTATAAAAGGATTCAACATGGCAAAATGTTAAACAATTCAAACTAGAAAAACTGATTTATGAACAAAACAACAACCAAATATGATTTACAGCAACAAGCGACAACCCCTGAATTACAGGCTCCTGACTTACAGAATGTGGTGGGGTTAAAAACATTTTTTCAGGCGCCTAATCCTTCCCTTACCAGGGACAGTGGTGTAACAGCACAACATATGAACAAAAACATCAGTTGAAAAGGACTTGACTCATCAGATTGCCACAAAGCACAAAAACAACTAATAAAAACACTAAAGCCACAAAGTACTAGTATGAGACCATTTGTAGTTTCTGAAAGCTAGTTCAAAACTAGCCAATAACAAGTGATAAAAAAATCATGTATCCATGATAACATATCAATCAGTACACATCCAATGGATTTAGTGTAAAGACATAACTAACAGTCTAGGAAAACATGACTGTATACAATGCCAAAATATAAGTATTGACAGGATGTAGAACAGTAAGTGTTAATGACTGTATAGCAAAACATATTTAGTTAGGTTTTAATTTACTGACAACAAAATCAATGTTAGTACCGATAATATCAATATTCAAAGATCTTACTTTGTGTTAAATTGAGATCCTTTTAGAATTAATACAATCCAAGGATTGATAAGCTTACATGGGCTCTAAAAACAACATCACCATCAAAATAAGTATGTGCTATCCTGTTAGTAATAAGTTTTCTACAAGTTCAGTCAAACTTCCAAGCCAAATCTTAGTATCTATTAAAGAAATGTATACCTGGTTATTTGTATGTTTTAACAGGAATTATATCAGCGTTTCTTAGATGGAGAAGATGTATCTAAAGTACCCAAAGAAGAGGATCCATTCTGGGAGCCAACAGAAGACGTACTGATAGGAACCGCTAATGTATTCTTACAATCACTTTGTTATGCTTTAGATTTTGACGATAAAGTGTTGATAACAGACTATAAAGGTCAAGAAGAAGGTTATTTATATGTTCATGTGACCCCCTGTGCAGCCAATGGGAAGCCGTTAGATGAAGAATCATTTGTAGAAGATCCAAAAGATCTCCTCAGTAAACCGTACAATTTTAAGGTAATTATAAATGAAAGGACATTCCGAGTACACATCAATGAGACAGCAACTCTATCAATACGTCTTGAGGGATACATACAATTTTCAACTATAGAGAGATATCTATGTCAAAATAAATTTAGATAGAAACAAAGGTTTTCCATCAACACCATTGCAGTGCAGATGAAACCTAGTTCTGTTGCTCTTAGGTGAAATTTGCCTACGCGTCAATTCACCACCTTAGTTATAGTACAGTTGATAAATTTGTTGATGGTATATTTACATGATAAAATTTCAACATTATAATTATGATTGTACCAAGGCACTGACTGCTCGACAGATGAAACATTCAGGGACTAACAGTCCACTAGGAATGCCAGGTGCAGACCCAGTATATTAATACTTGATAATCTTCATCTGTTATGCTTAACACCAAAATTTTTGAAAGCCTAAGACACAATAAGTATAGACAAATGATGGTATAAAACTTTCACAATTAAGTTTACAATGTGTACATTATCATAATTAAGTTTACAATGTGTACATTATCACAATTAAGTTTACAATGTGTAAAAATGTACATGTTTTTATGTTTGTAGGTGACAGTTAACAAAGCAGAGATCAATAAAGTTCGGTTTTCTAAAGGAATCAATGTAAAATATTCTGTCAAAGTGGAAAGCAAGGGAGACAGTGTAGAGACACCAACAATTAAAAATACATTAACACCAGAGTTCAAACATTTCAAAGTCATTCAGATATCTAAGTTAAAGAAGAAACATTTAGAATTTTTTGAGAGTAAATCAATATGTTTTCATGTTTATGGGACACAAGAGGACACAGTTCCTGACCCCAAACTTCTCAAGCTCACCACCAGGGTAAGTGTAGTATAGTAGATTGTGAAATTAAAATATTTTTTTTTACATTGACAGAATTAAACATTGTATACTGATATATACAATGTATATCACAAACAAAGCAATAGTTTTTTTTTTGAAAGTACAAAAAATAATTCTAATGTTATAAGGCCACTATTACTCAGTTACTTGTTTTTTTATTTTTTGTCTTACTTAAAAAAAATAAGGGAAGGAGGTAAGCCTCATCAAATGGTCAAGGGAACAGATAGATTTTATTTTTGATATTCTGATAATGGACAACTGTAGCTGATGGAAACAATTTATACTGTCTCTGTGTGACATAAATCTTCTATTTGTTCTACCCCTACAAACCAAGAAATACATGACAGAAGATAGATAAAACCAGGTATTTGTTCAGAGATTGACAGAAATCAGAGATAAAACTTTGAAATAGATTATCTGTGAAATGAATGTACCACCCGATATTGAAATCAAAGGGAGATAATTTACAAGAAATTCTGACATGAATTTACAGGACCTGAATCATATACATAAGGAAAATCCTTCCCAGTTAAAATATGAGGTAAAATGTTTGGTCACTGGGTGCTGATGTGTGGTTATATAACAATAGAGTGGTGGCATACAAATATAAATATAGGAAATTTTGAGGGTGGAAAAATTAATAATTTGGATTTCTATTTCATAAGTCTAAATGAAATGTGATTTCTTTAAAATTGTAAATCGCTGGCTGCTGGTTTATATAGTGTGTGTGGTTATATAACAATTGAGTGGTGCATTTGAAAATAAATTTGAAATTTAAAGGAAAAAAAAAACCATTGAAAACAAATTAGGATTTCAGTTTCCGAAAAAGTTAAAAAAATATTTTCTTTAAGATTAAAAATCTTGTTTTTTATAGAGAAAATTTATTTGAAAAAGTGAACAAACAGTGAATTTACATGATAGATATGAAACTAAAAACTAGATATCAAAACAAAGGACATTGTGATAATAATATAGGTATACAAATCTTTTGAATCATGAATGAGTGATAAAATCTATAACTTTTGCACTTGTGTATGTTTTCAGGAAATGAGACAATTGGCAAGCTTTTTTTAGTTTGTGTGTACACACTGTTGTGCATTAAACATTTATCTATATATTGCTTCACTGAATGCTTTAACCAAAGTTTACAGCTTTTTGATCAGGAAGGATTTCAGTATAATTGTCTGTCTGCTTTGATAGAAGTCACAAACATTATTTTCCTCTGCCATTTTCTTCTCCCTATACATAAAAAAGAGTAAATAATATTACTTCTCTGAATGAGTGAACAACTTAGGGTTGTCATATTTCAAATAGGAATTGTATGATATCTGTCTTGCTTGTTTTGGAATTAACTGACACAGATCCTAGATTATCTCCCTTATTTCCTTGATCTTATTGAAAGTATAAGAATCTGAAAAAACCTGACTATATGGTATGGGCTTGCTCTTTGTTGAAAGTTGTATAGTGACCTATATTTGCTTACATGCACATCAATTGAACTCTGGGGGATAGTTGTCTCTTTGGCAGTCATACCACATCTTCTTATTTTGGAAGAGAGATCTCTGTTATGGATGGGATTGATACTCAGGTTTTACAATATCTGTTTCATCTGTGACACCAAGTTTTCCCTGAAATAAAATTGACAAGAGCCCATTATATTATTGTTTTATATAAAAGTTGGCTTGATCATTCTATTGTTTTTAGATTTTGCACTTTAATTTCTTTTTTCTTAATTCACAGACATTATATTGCATCACCAGTGTATGTAATCTTTTTGTTAGATAACTCCTTTCTGTGTTTCACATAAAATATTTCCAAAATGTTTTATTCCTGTACAATACAACAATTTGATGTTTAATGTCTAATTGAATCAATATTTTATGAAACATTTCTACATCACACAAGATTAATATAATGTATTTTAGAAAATATTCAAACTTTGAAATGTCTGAATTATAACATGATACTGTTAAAAGAGGCTCTCTTGGCTTCATGTTATGGAATAATCAATTTACAACTATTTAAATAGATATAGTTTATATATTCATGTATGTCAATTAGACAGTAACCCAACAACAAAATAAAGATGTTTTCACCCCATCTTTTCCTTTAAAATCATCCTTGGTCGATACCAGTTGTGAATAACTAACAGCAAATACCAATAACTTACCAAAACCGCTGCATTTAATGAGTGGATTTGTAAAAATAATCCTGTGTGTGTATTGAGACTGTGTGTATTGTATTCATATAAAGATGAACAAAATGCATATATTACTTATAATTTAAACTTGTAATTGCTGATTTGACATCCAGTTTTATTGCATGTTAACCATCATTTTGACATTAACCATCATGTTAAAAAAAGTAATAGAATATTTATAAACTAAATGAAGTCTGATTTGATTAATTTTCATAATTATGGCAAACAATGTTTGGAGTATGAAAAATTATTGCATACAAAGGAAAGAGTAATTTTTTTTTTTGCACACAATATAGGGAGTTTGGATTTTTTTTTCAAACATTGTAGGGAGTTATTTTTTTGTTGGTGTTATATTACACACAATGTAGAAATTTGAATAATTATTGCACACAATGTAGAAATTTTAATAATGATTGCACTCAGAGCAGGGAGTTTGAAAAATTATTACACAAAATGTAGGGAATTTGAAACTCCTTTTTGATATTGCAGATATTTTAATGTATCCTTCTAGAATTATCAAGAAATGACAATTCTAGCTGCATCATAAATACCTCAAGTTTGCTTTTATTGCTTTTCATAATATATACTTTTTACACAAATTACACATACAAAATCCATTCACGGACTGGGCCCTAGCAATGCAAGCAGTAGAAAAATTATTTTACTTGGATTGCTTGCTATCTTCTAAGTATTGTTATTCTAGTTAAAATTCAAAATTATCTGTTCAAAATGGTGAACATTTCTTACATCACTACAGAAACTAGTAATGAGAATTATTTTTGTCTTCAGGAATTACGACAGATGGACTCGATGGAGCATGGTAATCCACAGAACTCTGTACGTAGGAATACTATATTTAGTGCGGAGACCATGTCTGATCAGTCTCATCTGAAAACGGAAGTGGTACTTCTACAACGGAAATATGAGCGACTTCAACAGAAAGAAAGAAGAATGCAGGTATTAATAAAAAAGGTCGAGAGATAGACCTAAATGTTTTTGTTTCAGTACAAAAAAGTTTTTCTCACATTTTGTATTGTGTATAGTCTTACTAACACAATGAATAAAAGGAGGTGTGGGGCATATGTTATTCAAGTATCTTTTAAATTTTGTTCTCATGAATATTCATATTAAAGCTAATGAAGTAAGATATGAAAAAGGTAAGTAACAGAAATATATCTTGACCCCAAAAAACCATTAAATTTCTTAATGAAGATTTGTTTATTTTGAAAGCTTTTCTATGAGAGAAAATTTGAGAATATAAAAAAATTAAGTGTAAGCTATCATATAGATAATCAGTTGATAAACAATGCACCAACTGTTTGAATATTGCATAAATTATATACAGCAAATATTGTATGTTCTTAGCAAATATGTGAAGACTGGAAAAACAAGCCAGAGGAAGAGAAACAATTTGAGCCATTTTACCGATCTGTATCAGCAGTAGCATATAGTACTGGTACCAGACTTAGAACCAGAGTACAGCTTCTGAACTCGGTAATTATAAAATCTGTTTGCCCATCAAAGAGGAGTGCAAAATTTTGATTAGAAAAATTATCTCCCCTTTCTACACCATTAACTTAAAAATTATGTTGTTAAGAACTACTGTGTTCTAAATCTGGCTCAAATTGTCAGTCTAGTATAAAAAGAGTTCTTACTTATGTTACCTCCTGCAATTTTCTGCTTGATGTTTTACATGAATTCATCAATCTAAGGTATACATGGTCTTTTTTGTAATTTTTCTGTTGAAAGAGTTATCTCTCTTTGTTTAGATATTCTTACAATTTTCCTGGATTTCATAGGTGTAGGTTAACCTCAAATTTAAATGTTCAACAAAGTACAAATTTTTAACAGGCTTGTGTAGTGACTTTGGCAAAACCATGATAATACAATTTTCTTAAATCCAGGAAAATCTGTATCCACCTTTTTTTTTCATTGTCTTAGAAATCAATGATTTGCAGGGGAGAGAAAAAATTGAAAAATATGAAATTCAATGCATGTTGCATAGGTGTAACATGTTTGAAACAAATATAATTCCTAATGATAAAACAAGGGAAAAAAGGATGTATAGTATTTAAAATGTGTCCATGTAGACATCAGTCAAGTTGTTTTACAGGTTCTACGCTTACAACAATCATCGAAAGACAAAATATCTAATCATCCAAATGTAAGATTGGTTTTAGGCTTTATGGCATCAGTTTAACACGAAGAGGGTTTGTCAGGGATCTATCTATTACCCATACAACATCAGTTTAACACTAAGAGGGTTTGTCAGGGATCTATCTATTACCCATACAACATCAGTTGGATATATTTATTTGCTCAATATTATATAATTTCATAGTATTTTTTTATTTTGAAGAAGTAAGAGAAAGAAGACAGTTTTGTGATGTTTGTTTTGAATTTTATTTTCATTTCATAATTTAATTATTATAGTTTTCAACCTCTTGTAAAATTATCATATTTTCCGAATCCATTATTACGCTGTTAACCAAAAGAGCAGATTATTCCATAAGTTTTAATGCTACTAAGAACAAGCACGGATTTTCCCATACATAATGACCTTTTTTCCCATACGTACATTTATTATGTCAGTAAATAGAGCATAGTTTGTAATACATTATAAAGAAGGCAGTTAATAAATATAAGATTTTCAACAATTTTTCCTTTGTATTTCTTATATACTATAGTACTGCCTTATGATAGAGCATATTTCCCCCATGCATTCCATCACCCTTTTGCTGCTTGTTGACAAATTGTAATGTTTCCATCTTTGTTTATTCTGACAGAACATTGTTTTGAAGCCTTCTTTATTTGAACTATCCCTGATAGACCCTCGATATCTTTGTGGTCATTAATCTGTGAGGTTTTTTGTTATGCCCCCGCCGTAGCGATGGGTCATTAAGTTTTACCCTTGTCCGTCTGTACGTACAACGTACGCCGTACGTCCCAAAATTGGTTTCTGTTCTCTAACTTTAATTTGCCTCAACCAAATGTTCTAAAACTTATACACAATGCTTATTACCACAAAACACAGTTCAAGTTTGAATTTTGGTGGTGTCACTTGTACCGTTCCAGAGTTATGCCCCTTTACAAAAGGAAAAAAATGCTGAATTTTTCGTTTCCATTCTATAACTTTAGTTTGCCTCAACCAAATGTTATGAAACTTATACACAATGCTTATTACCACTAAACACAGATCAAGTTTGAATTTTGGTGGCGTCACTTATACTGTTCTAGAGTTATGCCCCTTTACAAATGGAAAAATTGCTAAAATATTCGTTTCTGTTCTCTTACTTTAGTTTGCATCAACCAAATGTTATGAAACTAATACACAATGCTTATTACCACTAAACAAAGATTAAGTTTGAATTTTGGTAGTGTCACTTATACCGTTCTAGAGTAATGCTCCTTTACAAATGGAAAAATTGCTAAAATATTTGTTTCCGTTCTCTCACTTAAGTTTGCCTGAACTAAATGTTATGAAACTTATACACAATGCTTATTACCACAAAACACAGATCAAGTACAAATTTGGGTAGCGTCACTTTTACATTTCTTGAGTTATGTCTCTTTATAACGTAATATGCAAGCGGGGGCATCATCTGTGTCCAATGGACACATTCCCCATTTATTTGTAATCTAACACTACTGATTAATTGTTTTGACATGCACACTAATATACTGGTATCCTAAAATAAAATTGAATTTCACGGAAAATATTTATTCTTACATATTTAATATAAATGCATGATGTAGTTAGAAAATACAGTAGAACCTCGTTGTGTCGAACTCTGTTGTGTCAAAAACTCGAATGAGTCGAAGTATTTCTCGGTCCCGGTAAAATTCCCATTTGATCAATGCATAATTACCTCTGATGAGTCAAACTTGGTTGATTTGAATACTCGGTTAAGTCGAGTAAATTTTATAGTCCCGTCAATGTAAAATTCATGTAAATTGACCCCGACGACTCGAAGTTCGAAAGTAAGAATTTTAAAAAGATGCAGACCTAATGATTAAAATTAAAATCGAATTTATTTCTTATGTAACCTTAACATTTTCAAAGAGATTAAAGCTAAGTAAACATACTTGTTTGTATAACAGTTAAAATGACATGTTTATGGTGGCCGGTAATTAACACCTTTGTTGATCGTTCAAGCGGAACCTTAGTGTGTTGAACATATTTCACATGAGATAAAAACGAAACGAATTTAAATGACCCAAGCCGAGATTAAATGAATCGTTAGAATTAAAACTCATTTATTACAATAAATAAAAGGCGTAAGACAATTATGATAAATTCATGATTATTTAATGTTAAGCAGACGAGCTCATCAGAGACCGTTTTTTCAGAACTTATTTCGTTCCGAGAGTGATTTCATAATTTATACTGACTGACCTTTGTCAATATTTGTGTAGACTTTTGATTTTATTTGTGCATGATTTGTATTTGTACTTGTGTGTTCAATTATTATGAAGGACCAAAAATGGAGATTGAATACACAATCAAAAAGTGTCATATCGAAAAAAGGCACACTGTTCAAAGTATCTAGTTTACGCAAATTCATACCGTATTTCATGCATTCCGTATTAATGATGACACACTCGACCTCGGATGAGTCGAACCTCAGATAAGTCGAATACTTTGGTCTGGTCCCTTCGACTTCGACACAACGAGGTTCGACTGTACTTATATAGGCCTATAGAGGGTAGTTTATGGAAGATCACAGTGTTATTTTGTTAATTTGTCATATTCCTTGTGCAAAAATATTTATTATCCTGGGGATTAAGGGTTTTGATCCATATGTTAATGGGCCTGTCAATATTTGTTGTTGCCTTAAAAGTGCCTTCATTGCCAGTTATATCCAAATTACATTTAATTGAAGGTTATAATCACAATTTTTTTATGAGATTGGTTATTGGAAAATGAGAAAAATATTGTGAAATTTTTATCTGTGTCTCTTGAATTATCACTTTCATATCCAATTGGATTTCTTACTGATTGTAATGACAGCTTACTGTTGTCTAAATCGTTTTAGGAGGGTCCCGGACACTATTTCAAATATCACAATGCCATCTTGGTATTCTTCATCTTGATTTCTAAAGTACTAATTGGTTGGCTCATTAAATAACTGATTTTTGCACCATATCTGATACTGTTAACCAACTTATTTTTATGGATACTTTTTAACCCTTTTTTAGCTAATTCAGCAGAAATCTATTTTCTGATTTTGCTAACTTTTTTTGTGTTATGAATGAGATTTTAAAATTATGTTATTAGATAGTTCAAGTTATTTTTCAACAATGATATCCTTAAAACTAATGTAGTATAATTTTGTAAAGTTGCAAGATATATACATTTTATGACAGTTTTTTTAATAGTCTATTAGTACTAAGTATATTTATATCTTGTTTTTCCTTGAATGTCAATTGAGACTTTTCATTTCTGATACATTTTTTGTTGAAATTATTTTCAGGAAAAATTTATGCATTGTGTAGTCCATGCATATAATACTGTGTATTCATTTATTTTTTAAAGGGTACTAATTTAACATGGAAATGTAAATTACATGAATATGTAAATTTTTATTTTTTTTTTTTTTTACTGAAATTTGTTGTTAATTAAGTTTACACACAAAATCCAAGAAAATTAGAAACTTAAAAAATGATGAGTACACAGTACTTTGTGCAGTATAAATTTCTGTTATTGTTTGATTTATAGATGTTACATTCATCAAAAACTAGTCCACAGCTGCAACAACTGGAGAAATTATCGAGACAGACTACTGATTTATCACATTTAGTATGTCTTAGTGTGTTTATACAACTGTTCTCCTGTGCATACTAACGGCAGCTAAATCTATATCATAAACCATCACATTTAGTATGTCTTAGTGTGTTTATACAACTGTTCTCCTGTGCGTACTAACGGCAGCTGAATCTATATCACAAACCATTAGTTTCTTTTGCTTGCTTCACCACCAAGCTCCTAAGAATGATTTTTAGATACTGATAAGAATTTTTTTTTATAAATTTTCAATGATTATCTCCCTTTGATAAAGGTATGAGTTTTTATAGTCTTACTTATCCTGGTTCAGCGTGGACACAGATTATATTTTTTGTCCTGGTTTAACTAAGTCCACAGACTGATTTGTTTGTCCTGGTTTAACCAATCTACAGACTGATTTATTTGTCCTGGTTTAACTAAGTCTACAGACTGATTTATTTGTCCTGGTTTAGCTTAGACCAAAGATCTAATTTCTATCTGAATGCTTTCATTTCAATGGTTTGTGATCAGAACTAATAACAGTGTATTTGTAGTTGCTGTGATTGGGTAATGATATATACAGATGACTTTTACACAGTTTCTATATTAGCCTCTGTTTGAGAAAGTTGTACTTTAACATTTAAATTAAATATTATAAAAAAACATTTTGCCTGATATACAGAAGAAACAGATTATATTATTTAACACTAATGTTTTTTTTTTAATGTTGTAAAATTAATTCCTTTAATCACACTTGGTAAACTGTGTCCACAAAATGTGTTGTATGCTACTTTGACCTATAATGGTTTACTTTTATGAATTTTGACTTGGATGGAGAGTTGTCTCATTGGCACTCATACCACATCTTCTTATATCTATTTGTTGTGATGTTTCAGTAAACAAAGTCTTCTGTGCCTATAAGGTACCTTTAGACTTGACTTCATGTTATGGATGAAGGTTTGGGTGTAGGGGTCACCTTGATACTTGACTTCATGTTATGTCTGAAGGTTTGGGTGTAGGGGTCACTATGATTTAATTTAGCCAATGCTCATATGCCTTTTGTGAATATTTATGTTATTTGGTAGTCTAATGAACATAATACAACATATCTCTTTTTGTATTAATGAAATTATTATTTAATGTTAAATGAATTTAGTACATTTGTATGTGTTAATTAGAATAAATGTGTCATATTCTGTTAAAAAAGAAACCTGATCAGAGATACCAGGTTTATAATTTAGTATGCCAAACATGCATTTTAGAGGGGCTTACTGGTAAATCAAACAGTTGGAAGGCTTAATCAGTTACCTTTTGGGAGCACCTGAGATCACCCCAGGTTTTTGGTGACCAGGTTGTGTTGCTCAGTCTTTAGTTTTCTACATTGTGTTTTGTATACTGTTGTTTGTCTTTTGGTCTTTTTCTTTTTATTACCATGGCATTGTCAGTTTATTTTTGACTTATGAGTTTCAAATTGTCCCTTGGTATAATAGAGGGTTTTCTATAAGCAAATATAGCTTATGCTATAACAGATTTTGGATATGCTTAATTATTAGATAGGGTCCTTTAAAAATTTTCTCAATTTATTTGGGACATTTTTTACTCAGTGTGATGTATCTTTATCAAATATTGCTTTACCTTTTTAATGAATTGAAATGCTTTTAATATAATAGTAAGTACACTTTCTCAACAGAATTGGTTTTAATCATATATTGCTTTATTATATTATATATCACAATTTTTGTCTTTCTATTAATCTCTCAATCTAACTTTCCAATTTACAGGTTTTGCAGGGTCAAAAATTTGTGCGAGATGTGCAAAATGGAGTAAGAAACAATATTACTAATGCCTTTATTAACATATTTCATCTTTCTCAGCCTTGAATTAATCAGTCTTATCATTTATTTGTTTTATCTTTACATATTTGATAACTTTTGTATGACTTTTGCACGTTAGTTCATGTTAGACTTTCATACCCCTTTGATTTTTTATTATTTGAGTATTTTTTTAAGAACTGACAACTCTCTCTGATTCATTATCCCAGTGTTGTAAATTCTATAATCAAATCTATTGTGCCCTTTTCTCTCTACTTAGACACAATTAAAGATTGTACAGTCATTTAAGTCAAAAAACCAAATCACTCTGAATGATGCATCCTGAACCTGGTGCAGATTAGCATATTGTTGCCCCCCATCACAGTAATCAATTTCAGTTTTTCAAGTTTAAATATTTCCTGAAGATGTCAAGATAGAATACTGTGGATTCATAATAATTATTGGGATACCAATTTTCGTGGATTTCGTGGGGACAGGTGAAGCACAAATTAAGATGTTCAACGAATTCCAAATAATCTATTGGGTTTCACACAGATTTTAGCAAAATGACAAAATTAAATTTCCCTGAATTGCAAGATTTCATCAATTCACGAAAATTGATAGCCACGAAAATAAATGAATCCACAGTAGTAAGAATATCCTGGTTGATTCTTGGGGTAGAAAAAGGGGAAGAACTGATAAGGATATCTTGATGAATTCTTGGGATAGGAAAATGGGGGGAAAAGATATAATTATCCGGAGGAATTTTTGGGCTAGGAAAAAGGGGAAAAAGTGGTAAGAAACATTAGATAAGGCTGGTTAATGGCATGTCATTTATTTTGTAATGATTGAAAGTGCATATATAAATTGAAATGATGTGGAAACAGAAAAAGTCTCTTTCACAGTTAAATGTGCAAAAAGAAACCTAAAGCAAAAAAAAATTAAAAAAATTAAGAAGCTGATTTGAAAAAAAAATTATAATTAAAAATGTTTATTATACATGATATCTTATAGAAGATTATTTATTTAGTATAACTCCAACTGAAAGTGTCTTTTAAATTTCTCACTTCTTAGTCAATTCTTAATCCCATAGACAAATTTAACAGAATTGTTGTCTCTAGAATGTTTTGTGTATAGAAGAAAGTAGTTTAATGTTTTTTTATCTGCTCATAATTAATAATGTTTGTGTTTGATTTAATAAAATAATAATTTTAAAAGAAACATTTTGCTTGAAAGAAATTACAAAAAATGTTTTTATATATACTTCTCTATACTTTTGGCAATTTAGAGTCTAACATATTAGACATCTTTTGTATTAAGTGAAGACAGTATGTTGACCTTGATGTCATGTTGGTTGTTAGTGTTGTTGTGTTGCTGTCTTATTAACATATACACATCTTCTTTTATTCTTATTTAATAATTGAGCTGCCAAGTTTTGAGGACAATTTACTACACCAAATATGGTTAGAAAAACTGAGAAATAGATTGATCTTCACTAAAATTAAAAGATTTCTGGAGATTATTAATGGTTTTATGTTCCAACTAGGAGTTTGATATATGTACTTTCCATCATTTCAAATATAAAAAAATATCATATATACTCATAACCATATTATTAGAACTAGTATATCCCACAACATAACAATGACTTATAGCATGTGACCTTATATAACATCATGTGACCCGATATAGCATCATGTCACCCACTAAAACCATCATCCTACACATCATTTTATTCCAGGGAAAGAAACATAACTCTCACAATGAAGATGATCTAGTCAGCTTGTATATATTTGGCGAGGATGAGCCAGTTTTAGCAGCTGAGGCTGATAAAAATAATGGCGTTGTTTCTTATCATATGGTTGCTAATCACCACTACAAGGATTTACCCCTTTCTAATGGACATCAGAATCATCAAGTAAGGCAATTAGGTTGTGTCTGCTTTGTTTGTTATCTTGATTTTGATTGGTTGTTTTAAACTTAAGTTTCTTCCTCTTCTGATTCTTTTGAATGTTTGTTTGGCCACATGTAGTGAAGTTGCATGAAAGTTTGTAAACAAATGTGATGTATAATATCACATGTAGTTTGTTGTAATTTTGTAAAATGGAAATAATTAAATTGTTGCCTACAAAGGTACATAAAAGATAGACACATATGTCATTGTAATACAGTTTTGTTTCTTTTTTTCTTTTTTTTGTTTCATTTTTGTTTCAATTTTGTTTCATTTTTGTTTTGTTTTATCTGTCTTATATTTTTACAATACATGAATTTGCTAAAGAAGCACAGAATGAAAAGATTCTAAATTGCATTTCCTTATTTTGTCCCCCATTTCCGTGATGAGTTGTACAATCATAAGTGATTCATTTTATTTTTGGATGCAGCCGGATTCTGATCCGTACGGTGATGCTGATTCCTTGGCCTCTGTTGACCTTGCACCATTCATGGGGTTAAATAAATCTGCTCTAAACAAAGGAAGAAATGATAATCACAGACGATACAAATCCTCAGAGAGTGTTGTGAGTTCTTACTTTCCAAAATGGTAGCTATTCATTTTGTCTGCACTCCCTTATGTCAGATTTTGTTTTCCACACAGAATATTTTAATTAAGTAGTTTTTTCATGTAGCTTGTTCAGTGTCCCTCCATTTTGGTAATAAGAATAGTTACACCTTTTGTCTGCACATTCCATGATTTTGAAATTTGTGTATTTTTTTTTCTTACAAAACATTTTGTTTTAGTAAGTTATTTGTATTTCCAGTTTTGTTTTTCCTCCATTTTATTTCAATACAGATTGTTATTTCATTTATGTGGAAAGGCAAAATGGTATATTGCTTTTTCACAAGTCCCTTAATTTTCGATATTATGTATATTATGTTAGAGGATGAACTTGTTTAGTATTATTTTGCTGACATGGTAGAAAATTGCCTAAAATGCACTGAAATTTAGATTAGATTATTTCAAAATTTTGTCAAAATTTTAATGACTTGTGGATACAATTGTGTAAGATTTTGGGAGATAAATGCCCCTAAATTGATCTGTATAATTGACTCAGTAATTTGAGTAACTATTTAATTTTATCACCAAAGATGGACAGGTGAATGGTCCGCATATAGACAGCTTCCAGCCAAGTAATAGGTACAGTAATAAAAAGTAATCAATCAAGTGTTATAAACTGTACATACTGAGATGAACCAAAGCACATTTCAACTCACAGTAACCTAGTTTCAGTTGAACAAAAGAGCAAATTAAGATTTCAGATGACAAAAAATACAAATAATAAAGATACGTTAATTTTATGTAATTAAATGAAAATATCTGAAAGCATATACATGTGTATAATCCTCTGATATATAAAGAATGTAAAACAGATATGGGAATCTTAAGATTAGGTGTTAAAGGCATAGTTGTATAATATCATAGATAAAGGTCTAAGCCCATATCAGTTTGTTTTATCAGTCACCTTAAGTAATGTTTAGCAAATTCTTTTAACATATTTTAAGCTTCAGTAGTTAATGTCAGTGTAATTTTTTGTGTTAAATGCTTGGAAACTACCAACCATATTTATTAATATTTATTCTTTCTATAATTGCATCAATAAAATTACATTCCAAATAACCACAATTGACCTGCATTGTTGTGAATGAACTGCGAAATCCTGGCCTTGACATTCCTTTCAAGGTTTTTCAGTTGTAAATTTGTGGTCTCGGTTTCTATGTGAATTCTAAAACTACACAACATTTGTTGCTCTCCAGCAATATTCATGTAATATGTGGTATAGTTTCCATGCTTTTCTACATGCATATAAACTATTACATGTTACATTATATTTTTCTTGATATCATAGAAAATCACAGACTGATGGAATTGTTGGAGCCATTATCAATGAAATGTGTCAGAAGTTTCTATCTAGCAGGTTCTATTAATAATATTGTCTGCTATGTTTTTATCTGATCTTACCTTGCAACTGAAAAAAAGTTCAAAGTTTTCAGAAAAATATTGAGATAATTTGAACAAATAAGCTACCCAATATTATAATTTACATTATTGATGATAAGTGAGTTTCCTGTTTTGGTAATGTCAGGAAACACTACCAGTCATCATATCCAGTGCCATACTTTATATATTTCAAAGGGAAAATAACATAGTGGTCAGTGTGACTAGGGCTGAGTAATTTATCTATGGCTTTATACATATATGATTTAAAAGTATTCATAAAACAATTGAACAAGGTAAAGCTAAACAGTGCTTTGAAATATAAGATGGTGTTAACGTTTGCTGTAGCTAGTTTTATTCCTAGCACTAAATGCATCTTAATTTAGGCTAGGTTATAATGTAGGGGTGTAGGGTGGGGTACTGGTATAACTCTGTCCATAGATTTTTTTCCATATCTTTTTCCATGCTTTTCTGCTTAAATCAGTTTCTTCACCAGTAACTGATGAAAACAGAATGTTACCAATCCATCAAAAACATTTCTACTGTACAGGACATGTGATAATGCAACTGTGCACCTGCTATTTCAGTCTTTTTCCCCAGTGATTTTTGGTGTTTCACATGCCAAAACATTGATTTGGCAATTTCTGTGTATTTTGTTTTGAGATGGCAGGAGATGCAAATCTTGCTTGGAAGACTTACACATTTTTTCAACTCCAGTAAACCTACAAAATTGTATTTGTTATTCAGCCTTGAAGACATAAATTCTACACACTGGTGGAATTACAGGGCTCTCAGTTTTACCAGCCAGCAGGGTAATACACCATAATGGTGGAAAGACGGCGACAAGCCAATTCAAGTGTGAAACTGGGATTGAAATACTTTCCTTTTTGTAGTAGTGGTATTTTTAAGTCTCCCAAACGAAGTTTGGGAAGACTTATTGTTTTTGCTCAGTTCTTATTATTATTCTTCTTCTTCTTCTTCTTCTTCTTCTTCCGCCGCTTTTAAATTTGAACTTGTCCGCACCCGTTCTCCGAAACCACTTGTCAGATTAACTTAGGGTTTCACAATATGTTAGACTAACATGTCTAGTGGTGCAATCAGGGTTTTGTTTGTGTAATGGGGTTTATAAAGGGGTACTAAGAGGGGCAAAAAGAAAAGAGGGTTTTACTATAGAACCCTATGGGATTTTATTTTTTTAAATTTTCAAATGATTATGAATTGAAAACCATTTGTGATAGACATATTCTTTTTAATTGAAAATGTTCTAAATGATAAAGCCCATTAAATGAAATACAGGGTTAGTCCCCAGGGGTCACCCCCCACCCCCTGCCATTTAAGAAAGTTCTAATACCTTGTAAGTGGTCAAGATCCCCACCCCTAAACCATATATATTTTGGTTTGTCATGCTAAGATGGTTTGAATGATATACAGGGTTAGTCCCCAGGGGTCATCCCGACCCCCTGCCATTTGAGAAAGTTCTAATATCTTGTAAATGGTAGAGATCCCAACCCCTAAACCATATATATTCTGGTTTGTCATGATAAAGCACATCAAATGTAATACAGGGTTAGTCCCAGGGGTCACCCCCACCCCCTGCCATTTGAGAAAGTTCTAATATCTTGTAAATGGTCGAGATCCCCACCCCTAAACCATATATATTCTGGTTTGTCATGCTAAGATGGTTTGAATGATATACAGGGTTAGTCCCCTGGGGTCATCCTGACCCTTTGCCATTTGAGAAAGTTCTAATATCTTGTAAATGGTCGAGATCCCCATCCCTAAACCATATATATTCTGGTTTGTCATGATAAAGCACATCAAATGAAATACAGGGTTAGTCCCCAGGGGTCACCCCAACCCCTGCCATTTAAGAAAGTTCTAATATCTTGTAAGTGGTCAAGATCCCCATCCCCAAGCCATATATATTCTGGTTTGTCATGCTAAGATGGTTTGAATGATATACAGGGTTAGTCCCCAGGGGTCATCCTGACCCCCTGCCATTTGAGAAAGTTCTAGTATCTTGTAAATGGTTGAGATCCCAACCCCTAAACCATATATATTCTGGTTTGTCATGCCAAGATGTTTTGAATGATATACAGGGTTAGTCCCTAGGCATCACTTATGCATATAACTTTACTGGACCAAACCAGTTTTCACTGGACTTTGCCCAATGTCATGCGACCCTGGGAATTACGAATTATGGGAGCTTCGTTTGGGAGACTTCGTAACAGCATCCTGTTACAATCATTTTTTGTTTTTTAATGAAATTTATTCAAATGGAAAATGCATAAGATTAACCAAATAGCCTTAAAATAAAGTTGCTACATCATTTTGAGTTTAGCTCCTGTGATTATACCCTTACATTGCTTCACATTAAAAGAGAAACAATGTTATCCACAGGTACAGGTACATGAAGAAGTTAGTTGTATGATATTACTGATCTAACAATTGTCATTTTTATACAATTTCTGCACTTTTTGTTCTTCCTAGTTTACTAATGCATGCTTTAGTGTATTTTTCTTCTTGTTTTGCATGTATTTTATGTCTAGGTCAGAAACAACAATCATTTATTATAAATCAATTATTTACATGCAGTAGTAGAATGTCTTAGGAGCTTTTAATATGAGGATTCAATTTGTTTTTTTCTATTAATAAAAGTGACATGAAATGTGATGTTTTAATGTAATAATTGTGAACTTTATTGGTAATATTAAATGACTACTTTCATTAGATTAAATCAATTATAGTAATTTCATACTTTAAAACAATACACCAGATTAAACAAAAAATATCAAAACTTAACATTTTTTTTAAAATGTTTACCAAATTGCTCAGTTGATTTTCTTCTATTAAATTTAAATTTATTCAATGGTTAAAATGGTAACGGCTTATGTATATATGTAAATACTAATAAAAAAATGTTTTCTTATTATAGAGCACCAATGGAAATAAGGGAAAACAGAAAAGAAGGATCAATTCTGCAGATGGAAAACCAAAGGACGGAAGTTCTGCATGTACTTTACAATAACTGTTGATCTTTACAATGGCAACTTAAGATCAAGAAAATAATTCTCATTTTCTGATTAGAAAAAAACTATTTGCTGAAAAAGACTTTATATGATGTTGAGTTATAAATAGTTGCATGCATGTATTACAATTCATACTTATAGACCAGATAATGATTTAAATTTTATATATTTTATTTATTATTTTTTTAAATTTTTTTTTTAATTTTCTGTGGTAGAGGGAAGCTTTATAACTGTTCCTCCAATTATCTTAATTCTTACAAAATATGGCCATTTGTACACAATTTCAACAAATTCCAATTCTGAATAAAAAGAGATGAGGTTATACCTAATGACACTAAAAAACAAAAGACTTTAGAGGTAAGCCTACAGTCTTCAACAAACAGACAACAAATGAGCTGTGTTGGATAGAAATCATCCTTATGCAAATGAATATCAATACATCTGTTAACCATTTTTCGTGTTGAAAAATCTCTTTGCAAAGTCTGTAACTGTTTGAAAATTGAGTTGATATAAGAACCCAACAAAACAGACCAAAATTCATCTTATATTTCGTATTTGAAAGTTCCAAAATCAGTCAAAGTCTTACACATGTATATGTGATTTCTATCTGACACAGCTCAAATGTTGATTAAATATGTAATTCTGAGTAAAAATATTCTGTAATGTGAAAGACCAACTACCTATATGTAATTCTATTGTTCAAGTTTTCCTGGAAACTAACCTCTAGTATTCTTCAAATATTAATCCTAACTAATGATCTTTTGATTTGAGGCTTTATAGATATTTCTCCTCATTCATAATATATCTTGAATGTTCAGTTTATGAATCAACATAACTATACAAAATTTCATTTGTAGGAAGATTCAGATAAAACAGGACTTTCAATTACAAAAATAATATTTATATGTCTTGAAAATTACTGAGTTTTCAAAATAACACAATGCTGCAAATTTAATAGGATTTTAGTTGTATAAACAACAAATCAAGCATTATATTCAGTTTGCAATATACTTATTTTGTAATCAAAAATAATCTCTTAAGGCTTGTTTATGCTTTTGTAGTCTTTTGTTTCAAAATCAATAAAAAGTTACTTTTTAAATTAAAAAAAAAAATGAAGTCAAATTTCCACCAATTCTTACTTTCTATGTAAATATATTGTCATTTTAGAACAGTAACTTAAATAAAAATCTCTGTATCAAAGCTAGTTTTTTGTGACATTATTATATTTAAAACATATTTTGAGAATAAAATCTTGTCTTAGCCATTATTTCAAAAAAAAAATGAAAAACAATCTATTTGTCATTTAGTTATTTGATTTTTTATTAAATGAAGCAGAGATACCAATGACAAAACGTCAATGGACTACCAAAACTTGAAACTAAACAAAATAGTTTTGTAAGAAACAGATAAAAAAATTATGTTAGTCAATGAAGAGTGTTAGAAAGTCAAGTAACTGCAAAAGCATAAATATGTGCCATTGTATAATGTGTGCAATGTTTTTTGTTTTTCTATGTGGTGCTTTTTGCCCATTTAAATCAGATATTGTTTACTAATATTTACCTCCTTTTTTGCAATTTGTATTTGTTATTGTTTCTTGCTTGTTTAAATTTGTATTAGATCTCATAAATGTACACACACAAATCACACACTTGAAATATTTGTTGTAGCTTTGTTTCACTTATTTTGTTATTGTAAAAAAGTGCATGAAAATTATATGCACTTTTTTTACAACCATTGAGAAAAAAAAAATGGTAAAAAAATATTAAAACAGTTAGAAGGTATAGTTGTAGCCACACCACAAAGTAACACACTAGGAAAAATTTGATGTATTCATTGGATATTTGATATTTCAAATATATTTTTTGAAAATGTTTTATACATATTTTAATAACTGTATTTACTGTTTTACGATCAAGATCAAATTATTTGTCTCGAGAAAGGTATTGAAAATAAATGGGAACTTTATATTAAAAACATAAATTCCTCCCTAGTTTCTTGTAAAAACAGAAATAATATTTGCAGTCGAATAAAAATAACTAGATATTCCATCCAGCATGTTAACATATTTTGTATTTTGTTACTGTTTGTTAAATAGATATAGTTACCTGATCCGTCCACAGAATTTGGAAAGCCATGTATTAATGTATGAAACCAATTTGGTGATATAAAGATCTGTGATATTATAAATGATGTTTATTCAGACTATTATTTTCTTGTATACTATTTTCATACAATAAAATGTTACAATTCTTACGGTCAGTCTTGTATGTAAATGGAGAAAGAAATATGTGGGATGTATTTCTGTGTTGGATGTGCCTGAATTGGATGTCTTGATAGGATGTAAACTGAGTTCGAATAAAAATGCACTGATCTTTCAGGTATATTTTGAAAATCAATATCCATATATCTACATATAAACACACAAGATTCAGAGGGAAATAATTTCAAATTATCATTTTGACTTGGTAGTGTTGAATGGGTTTTAAAAATGCTTAATATTGATTATATATCACAACAATTTTGATATACATCAAAAAGTTCAATAAACTCTTGAGTGTTAAAAAAGTAAAAGAAATTGTAATATAAAGAAGAAAAAAAGAGACCGATGTGCCCAATCATCCAGCACAACCAAATGACCATGGCTATTAAATATACATCGCCAACGTGCCCCATCAGATACACCCAACCCAGCTAAATGTACATGGCTAATAAATATACATCGTCAACATGAGGAACTTCTTAGGAAGAAAGAAAATTTGGTGACTATATTGAACGAATCTATCCCATCGAACTAGAGATAAAGGATACTACAGATACAGTTAAGTCTGCCTCATATCTTGACTTACATCTAGAAATTGACAATGATGGTCGGTTGAAAACAAAACTTTACGACAAAATAGATGATTTCAGCTTCCCAATTGTAAACTTTCCATTTCTATGTAGCAACATTCCAGCAGCGCCTGCATACGGAGTATATATCTCCCAATTAATACGATATTCCCGGGCTTGTGTTTCCTATCATGATTTCCTTGATAGAGGATTGCTGCTCACAAGGAAGCTATTAAACCAAGAGTTCCAAATGGTGAAGTTGAAGTCATCCCTTCGTAAATTTTACGGACGCCATCACGAGTTGGTTGACCGTTATGGAATAACCGTTTCACAGATGATATCGGATATGTTCCTTATGTCGTAACTACAATACCCTCCCTTTTCACGAATGTGACTTGCCGAATTAGACTATTTATCGGATTTGTAATAACATAAGCAACACGACGGGTGCCACATGTGGAGCAGGATCTGCTTACCCTTCCGGAGCACCTGAGATCACCCCCAGTTTTTGGTGGGGTTCGTGTTGCTTAGTCTTTGGTTTTCTATGTTGTGTCATCTGTAATATTATTTGTCTGTTTGTCTTTTTATTTTTGGCCATGGCGTTGTCAGTTTGTTTTCGATCTATGAGTTTGACTGTCCCTCTGGTATCTTTCGTCCCTCTCCTATACACCCAACCCAGCTAAATGTACATGGCTATTAAATATACATCGCCAACGTGCCCCATCAGATACACCCAACCCAGCTAATGTACATGGCTATTAAATATACATCGCCAACGTGCCCAATCAGATACACCAAACCCAGCTAAATGAACATGGCTATTAAATATACATCGTCAACGTGCCCAATCAGATACACCCAACCAAACTAAATGTACATGGCTATTAAATATACATCGTCAACATGCCCCATCAGATACACCCAACCCAGCTAAATGTACATGGCTATTAAATATACATCGTCAACGTGCCCCATCAGATACACCAAACCCAGCTAAATGTACATGGCTATTATTAATTAAATATACATCGTCGACATGCTCCATCAGATACACCCAACCCAGCTAAATGTACATGGCTATTAAAAAAGAGGTGGAAGATACGAAAGAGATACTTTGACTCATAAGTCGAAAATGAACTGACAATGCCATGGCAATAACCTAAATACTACTAAAAGACAATCACTAGTCTACAAAACACAACATAGAAAACAAAAGACAGCATTACAAACCCCACTAAAAATCAGGGTGATCTCGGGTGGCGTTCACAATTTTTATCCTGGTATCTATGATTAGTTTATTGTCAGTTTGTTTTAACTTATGAGTTTGAATATTCATTTGGTATCTTTAGCCACTCTTTTTTCTAACCCTAAGACAAGACATCAACGTCACGAATTGGTTGACCGATACAAAGTGTCTTGAGTCTAAACTCACAAGAGACATGTTTTCGTTGTCTTATTTTGGCTAATTTTGCATTTAGATTAAGGTCTAATCAACAACAAATGCCGAGGAACAGCTTTAGTGTAGCAACAATAACTTTTGATGCGATGAGGATGCTAGGTAATACAAATACCGATCCTAGTGTGTTTGAGTCTTAGATATATGTTTGTTCTAGTAATTCAGGTGTTTTACATTTACTTTAGGTCTGAAAACTGCTGCAGACAAGTATGCATTAAAACCAAATGAATATGAATACACTACACACACTGAACATAACTAAATAACTAAAGGAAATGGAAAAAATATATCCAATTCTGATTTGTCGTCATAGAAAGGTTGATTTGTAGCTCAATATTTATCTTTCAGTCTACTTGCAGCAAAAGCTTATTTTATACTAGTATGTAAAGAAGGATGTATAAATAATTTGGAAAAAGGTCAAAAGGAACTTATATATAATTGTTGGTAAAAAGGGAAGACGATAAATACAAATTAGTAAACATAAACCATAGATGTAAAAAAAAACAAACCAGACAACGCTATGGTAACAAATCAAAGAAGAGACAAACAACATGTAGCTCACAAAACACTCCATAAAGACTGAGCAGCATGAACCACACCAAAAAATTGTGGAAGATCTCAGGTGCTCCGGAAGGGTAAGCAGATCCTGCTTCACATGTGGCACCCGTCGTGTTGCTCATATAAATACAAACCCGTTGGTAAATCTAATTCTGTAGGTCACATACGAGTGATAACGATAAGAAAAACATATATGTGGTCATATTAGATATTCATTAACGATCTAACAAATCATGATGTCGTCCGTAGAACTTTCGTATGTATGTCTTCAATAAAGACTAGATCTTGAAAGGACAAAAATAGTGGTAAAAGACACATTAAATGCATTGCCAACATATAAAGACTCGGGTAAGGACGAATATCTATGAATATTTGCCTCCGGACATAGACTTCGACATATGACGTATACACTCAATTACTGAAGACTTTGTTTTGAATTCAATATTCTGTTTTTTTTTAATTGGGTAGTTGGATGAATTACTGTCTCATAGCCATTCGATTTCCATTTCGGCTTGTTCATATTTTTCATTGTACAGTTTTGGAGAATAACAATAATGGCGCACATACCGTTTGAGCTCGACTAAAGGAAACACAGGCGCTTTGGACATAGAACCCTTTATTTTTGTTTTTGTTCTTCACACATTTCAATTATCATTATCTTCTAAGAATATTGATTTTCAATTTAATGTATAATGTATTCCTATCCATAACAATACAATATCAGTGTAGCACTAAGAAATAAAATTCTCTCCTCTACTATAAACTACCTACGGGAAATAAAAATATAGGGCGACACTGAGAAATTCTGCCACTTTAATATTATATAGTATAGGAACAATGTAGCAAAAATAAAAATAAACCATAGGTTCCTGTCCGCAAGCAAACTTCTGTCATTTTCTCCATGTCCAGCATTCAATGGATCTGCAACGGCCAGCATGTTTTACACATTATTATTATAAATTAACTGTTTACAAAAGGAACAAATTACCTTAGATGTATATGGCAAAGCTTTTGGGAAATTTGGGTCCTAAATGCTCTTTTATACTTTTTTTTTCTTTTTATTCGAGCGTCACTTTGTAGACAAAACCCTTGTCTGATGTACACAATGTTATTTACTTTTTATACATTTCCATTTTGAAAAGTATTCACCTATTTATACTTCAACTTTAAATAACCAATCACGGGGGTTAATCATTTGAGTACTGTATCGTAAACAGCAGGTATTTATAAAATTATTGTTGATTTCATATTGTCTAAACTCAATGTTCCATGTCTAACATCCAATGTATCTGCAACGATCAACATGTCTAACGAAAATCATTATGTTTCCTATATTTTTATTTTCAAAGGTATCGACCGAGTTACAGTTTATTTTTAAAATCACCTGACATTATTATTATTGGATGCACAATTACAATTCGGGGGTTATTCAACCGAACACGGTAGTGTATATATATCTATGACATAGCAGGTATTTATTTTTGAATTCATTTTGTCTAACTGTATTCCAGGTTTTCTGATCATTTAACTTTGTTACTGTCATTACAAATATGCAAATGTGTACCTCACAACTGTTTCTATTTACAACTGTTTACTTCGTTCTCTTGATTAGGTTATATTATAATTGTCAATTCCTAATTTTCCGCAAAGTATAAATAATTTAAATGCGTATGCAGTTACTAGTAGCATATTATTTTTGTTATTATCTGTAGCCTCATTCTAAAATATATGGTCCTTGGGGTCTTTTATTATAAATCGTAAGTAATGACAAGAGCCCCCCTGACAAGATTATCGATCAGGAGGGTTGTTAATACTTTGTTGTGATTGTGGCGTTTTAAAATCAGACAAAGAACGTGAACTCTGATTTCAACAATTATTGAAGAAATGGACGTAAAAAACAGAATAAAAAAAACAACCAAATTTGCCCCTTATGCTTAATGATACAACCTAGATAAAGTTAAAAGAATAAAAATACACGAAAAAGGGGCAAAAAGAAAAAGATGAAGATTAAGGAAGTGTGACAGGAATAAGGCAGCTAAGAACAAAATCACTGTAATCGTCCCTGAACACTAATAGTTGATGCCTTCTAGAACCCAGTTATTTGTTTTGTACTATAGCAGTATTGTTTACTGTTAATTTCTTAAAATGCAATGTATTTTACATTTTTAAAAAGAAGCAACGACATCATATATTATACATTGCTGTATCATACCGTCGTATGGCGTTTACATTTCTCAATTGATAGGTTACGCACGTGCATGTTCACACTATACGGACTAAATTTGCAAAGGGTACGCCCCTTACATAAAATCTGATCAAATAGAGTAATGTGGTAGAAGGACAAAATCGAAACTACATACGAATTGATCTACCAACTCACTATCGACATGTTTTCGCATTCTTTTATCTTTAGATACCAGAATAGTCGTTTCATCCGGAATACAACGATTGTGTCCTATTCCCGGTAGTGCCATTTTGACTGATTTGGATTTGATTTACGGGTGATACACGAATAGCAGTAGACGCTTACCCTGTTAACTTAATTCAAATAAACTCATCATAGATACCAGGCTTAAAACTTTGTACGCCAGACGCGCGTTTCGTGTACAAAAGCCTCATCAGTGACGACGCTGGATCAGAACCATTAAAAAGGCTCGATAAAGTACGAAGTTGAAGAGCATTGAGGACCCCAAAATTCCAAAAGGTTTTTCCAAATACAGCTATTTGGTATTTGGTATCAAAGGGAGCATTGAAATAACCTTTTTTGAGTTTCAAAATAATTTGTTAAAAACAAGCGACCAGTTGGAATTAATAATTGAATGACAAGTTCCTATCCTTTTAATATGTATAGATATGAACTAAAATGTACAAGTAAAAGATACCAAGAGGTCAATCGAAAATAAACAAAAATATAAAGACATAGAATAGAAATAGAAAAAGTCCGCATATATATAATATGCGTGGAAAGGGAGTCTTTGAACACGAACACAGAAAAATCGAGGGTATATCCAGGGGCTTCCAAAAGGTATTCTGTTCCTGCTTGAAATGATGCCTGTAAAAATGTAGAGTTGGTTATACTTGACGATGAAAAATGATGACCGACGATGTGCTTTAAGTGGTAAATATTAAACATCATGCAATATAAGCATGTCAAAGTCCTAGCTATGATTTGATCTTACCTTCGGGTTGGCCATTGTCGTTCGTTGTCAAATAATTTGTCTCCGTCTATAGGATTCTCAAGACACCTTGACTTTGTTCTTAATAAACCACAGTTATTATAAATATATATATACTAGTATTCGATGATGTTATGTCACATTTCATTTTGAAACCCAACATGAAAAAAAATGTGATTTTTCCACTCTTTAACGCTTGCATTGTGTGTTGTATTGTTTAATATTTTGTCTTCGGGCATCACAAAAAAAAACATCAATTTTCGAAGTACGCATCTGATGCAGTAAAATTGGCACTGTTAATGTTATTATAACGCAGTATTTATATGAAATTGAACTTGTACTTGTTTTGATACCAATACATTTGTTTAAGGTACTACAAAATGTCATCAAGTAGTCTTTGCGGACCCTGTAGTCATGCCAACAGACGTAAACATGCACAGAAATGGTGTACAGATTGTGAGGAAGGTTTCTGTGCTGACTGCGAACAGATTCACAGGTCAATGATGCTTACTACAGACCACACATTGGTATCAACCAATGTAGTACATGAAACTGAAAATGTTGCTGTCATTATGAATTGTGACATTCATGGTAAGAAATTTGATCTCTACTGCAAGACACATGACGTAGCTATTTGCGTAGCCTGCATTCAGTCAAAACACAAACATTGTTCTGATGCCGTTATTTCACTTGATGAAGCAGCAAAAAATTCAAAGACATCAACAGCCCTGGATGATATGGTTGATTCAATCAATGTCGCTCTAGATAGCATGAAAAATATCATCAACAATCGCAATGTTGCTATGCAAAATATTGCAGTACAAGAACAGACCATCCGAAAATCCATCGGTGAAATGAGAGCAAATTTAAACAAACATTTGGACGATATTGAGAAAAAGTTGTTGGATGAGTTGTCAGAACTATATACAAACTGTAAATCAAAGTATGGAAAAGTCCTCAAAACTTTTAATAAAACAGCGAACGAAATCAAGTTACTTCAAGAACAAGCATCACAACTGAAATGTGTCGGATCCGACTTACAGGTATTTCTTGGAACTCGTCAGATCACCAAATTAATCAATGTTGAGGTACAATCCGTTAAATCGGGGACGAGTGCAATGCAGGATTACACGATAGGGATAGAAATGCATCCAGTAATTACTTCATTACTTGAGGGTATCGATAACTTTGGAAAGATTAAAGTTGAGGAAAAAAACTTCAGTTTACCTTTCAAAGAGGCAAAAATCGTTCAAGCTCAAATAGTTCATACACCAGTCCGTCTATTGTTTGATAGTACCGGGATACGATTGCGAAAGAAGTTTAAAATAAAGGAGACAAAAGATGAAACGAAAGTCTACGGATGTGTTATTTTACCGAACAGCCATATATTAGTTGCCATTTACTCCGAAGACAAAGTCATAATGGAGTATAGCGACGATGGAAGACATATTCGTGACATATCAGTCTCTGACAAACCGTACGATTTGGCAGTTATAGACAGTTATCTTATTGCAGTTTCATATGATGATTTTATGGAAATAATGAACATAATAGACAACAACGCTCAGGCAAAGGTAAATTTTGGATCGCCATGTTGGGGCATTTCATATCAAAATCGAAAAATTTATATCAAGGTCGACGAGGAAGGAATAGTGGAGCTGGATTTGTTAGGGAACAGATTGCGTACAATAGGCGGGAAGTTTGCTGAAGCCGGCTGGATTTTCCACATAACTACAACAAAAGACAGAATATATTGTACCGACTTCGAGAAAGATGCAGTTTACTGCTGTTGTATGACAGGAGAAGATATCTGGACATTTACTGATGAATCTCTTTCCAATGCCAGGGGAATATCAGCTGACGGTGACGAGAACGTGTTTGTTGTGGGGAGGGAATCTAATAGTTTGATGATGATACAGCATGATGGAAAAGTCGTTAAAACGTTACTTACTGAATCTGATTGTCTCAATGATCCAGTAGGGGTGCACTACAACAAAGATAAACAATTACTGTTGATATGTAATCAATATACTGGAGAGGTATTTCTATATAGTGTTACAAAGGAATCGTACATCTAAGTGTAATGAAAACATGGTCGACTTTAAACAAGATTTTATTATGCATCTCTGTCTTGGGCGATGGGTCGACTTTAAACAAGATTTTATTATGCATCTCTGTCTTGGGCGATGTTTAAATCATATATCGTAGCTCCTACCATTTAATTGGTGATTTGAGAACAGTTAGTCGATTTTGATATCTGACACGAGTTATTTTTCCGCGTTATTTGATTTTTTCTCTATATGTGATACTTTTGTGTGTTTGGTGCCAGTCTGCAACATCTAGTTTATTTTCTTTATTCACTGCCAAGAGAATACGAGGTGAAAGAATGTAAACGAGAAAAAGATTCTAAAATACTAAGAAACCAGTTGCGAATTCAACAACATACATTTAAGAATAAGCGTTTTTATATTTATCCTCCAGATTGTTAATTGTGCGAAGGTATTCAATATTTCAACAATCAACCTGCTGGTATTAGGGTAGTTATGATGAACTAAACATTCGGTTGAATCTGAGTAGGTATTAAAATACATAAAACTACTTAAAAAGACTATTCTGAATTAAAAAAAGTGGGATGATTCTCAACTTCAAGTTTTTTCTTAATTTATGCCATGGCAAATGATTGGCGTAGAAATGTCAGTAAATCAGTTTAAATGAAAATGTTCATGGACAGGTCTTGTATTTCAGGTAAGAAGACTATTAACACAGGTGTTATTATCAACAACTGTATTGATTAATTCATTTGTCCGGTATATGTTAAGATGTATATCAATTACAGGACATTGTTGCTATTGAAATGCGTATTTATCTGTGGTACATTTTCTATAATATGCATATGTCGGGTCTAGGAACAATGTCTAGTTATACTGAAATTATGATTATTTGCGGAAACGCTGTGACGTAAATTGTACTTCCAAATAATGTAATTGTTTAAAATCGTCTAAAAAAATAAATAGATAAAAGGTGTTAAAAACTGCAAATGACAGAATCAAATTTGTAAGAGGTATTTCATTACACATTACATATTTGTCTGTATTTTCAAATTTCGTTAGTATGGAACTTGACTGAACAAAATGGCGTCAATGTATACAGTTAACTAGGAACTTTACAAAATCATTGACAGTTTGTTTTATAACATATTTTTATAACAACCACATTATGAAATAAAAAGTAAAATAACGAAAATACCGAACTCCAAGATCTTCAAAACGGAAAGTCTTTTATCAAATAGCGAAATCAAAAGCTCAAACACATCAATCGAATGGAAAGCAACTGTCTCATTCATGACTTGGTACAAACATTTCCTTGTGTAGAAAATGATGGATTAAACCTGGTTATAGAGCTAGCGAAACCTCTTACTTGTATGACAGTCGCAAATAATTCCATTATATTGACAACAAGGTGAGCAAAACAAACAGACATAATAGGTAAAAATGTCAAAAATGAAATTAATGTTTCAACTTTTAAACAATATTTTGTCGTCAAATAGTATTCAAGCCTTTACAAAAATTCTCAGCATATCAGTAAATGGTCAATATCGTCGATGTGTCGAATTTGGTTCCGATTCATCGACGATATTGACATAAAATGGGGTAATACTGAACACGAACTCAATGTGTTCATTCAACATGCCAACGATGCACATCCCTCAATACAATTCTCTTTTGAAATCTCTGCCTCTAAGATTACATTTCTTGACACTGGTCGCGGTCACCTAAAAATGGGGGTTACAGAAAATAAAAACATTGATGAAGGTTTCTCTCATGCTAACAATATCAGTCGAGATGAACTTTTACAATATAAAGAGAACAAAAGTCAACAAAAGAGTCCCGTTTATGCTGAATTACCATCCTAAATTTGACAAGTTATCACACCTTATCCGCGCAAAATGGAAAGATATCGAAAAAAATCCAAGATCTTTCCCGAGCCACCTGTACTGGATTTTCGTATGCCCAAAAGCCTTAAAGACTTGCTGTTGAAAGCTGATGTATCCTCTAAATCATGATATTTGTCTGTGGGCTCTTGCAAGGGTTGTGGTAACTAACGGTGTCTAATCTGCAAGCAAAAACTGAATACCCAGACTTTTAACAGTCACTACACTGGTATTGAATACACCATATTTTGCAATGGTAATTCCAAGACTACAAATGCTACATATCTTCTACAGTGTAAATGTGGTAAAACGTATGTTGGTGAGTCAGAACAGCCATTTCACAAACGTATGAACGGCCATCGTAGTGACTATGAATGCAAAGTAGACTTTCCTCTCAGTCGACATTTGAAATCCCCTGGCCATATGAAGGCAGATCTCAATCGACTGACTATAACCAACATAGACCACAGCACTGCTTGGTCTAGGGAGGAGAGAATCACTTTGAAACGATTTTGAATAAGAAAATTAAAAACGTTGGCACAAAATGGGATCAATGAAAATGTGTAGTTCTAATCGCGAAGTTCTGTTAATTTGGGTTGTATAAGTAAGAAGTAAAATAACCAAAATACCGAACTCCAAGGAAAATTCAAAACGGAAAGTCCCTTGACAAATGGCAAAACCAAAAGCTCAAATACACGAAACGAATGGAAAACAACTGTCATATTCCTGACTTGGTATAGGCATTTCCTTATGTAGAAAATGGTGACAGTCTCTGTTGTAATTCCTTTAACATCGTCAACTCTGAAATTCTAGATTTATACCAGTTCAAACCGAACAGTGCTATCCATTTGGGATGTATAAATACACAGCCTCTGTTGTAATTTCTTAAACTTCGTCAACTTTGAAATTTAAGATTATACTAGTTTAAATCAAACATTGCTATTCATTTGGGATATATAAATACGCAGCCTCTGTTGTAATTACTCAACCTCGGTCAACTATGAAATTTTAGATAGATATCAGTTAAAATAGGACAGTACTGTTCATTGGGGACGTATATCTATCACTCAATATCTTAACCTTCGTCACCTGTGAAATTTTAGAATTATGCCAGCTCATATCGCATATTACTATTCTTTTGGGATGCCTATCTATGCAGTTCTGTTGTAAATACTTAACCTGCGTCAACTTCGAAATTTTAGAATCATACAAGCGTCGTTCGGTTTTTAATATGTATATGACTTTAAAGATTGTTGTAATTAAATCAGAATAGATTGATATAAAAACATTTAATATCATCATTTTCATACTTATGAAGGATAGCTGTTATCCGAAATATTTATAGATACTTATATTTAATGTTTCCTTTTTTATATATATTTGGTGTTGTTTTGTACACTTTTTAGTCGTAAATATATTATTTGTGTAATGTTTCAAGGTATCGTTACTCGTAACGATCCAGCGCCCTCATACGAAAATTAATCGATGACTAATATCTAAGACTTTATATAAACAAGTCTAAATCGAAAATAACGTTCAAACCTATGATTGCGTTGGATAAAAACCGCAATTTTTATACGTGTGCATGCAAAACAAATGTCTTGGTAGAGGGGTCTAAATACAGCACAAACAACATTTTCCAAAAGACCAAAAAAGTGAAAAAGTATATTTTTACAAAACGCATTTGACTAGCAGGTCGAACAACGGATGTTCTTAAACCCTGCTGACTGCCATGGCAATTGCCAAATAAACGGATCACCAGATGTAACAAAATGGGTCTTATTTATTAATTTAATTCTAAACAGAAAACAATAAACTTGGTTCAACCCACCATTTTTTCTTAAAATGTCCTGTACCAAGTCAGGAAGATGGCCATTGTTATATTATAGTTCGTTTCTGTGTGTGTTGCATTTTAGTGTTGTGTTTCTGTTGTGTCGTTGTTCTCCTCTTATATTTGACGTGTTTCCCTCAGTCTTAGTTTGTAACTCGGATTTGTTTTTTCTCAATCGATTTATGAACTTCGAATAGCGGTATACTGCTGTCGCCTTTATTTATGGCAGGCCAAACCTCCCGCTATATGGCAATGTTACAAAATATCGCTAACATGACAACACTACGTGACAGGAATACAGTACAAACAAACGCAAGAACACATGGCACAGAGAAATGCATAAATTAATAATATGATAGTACATTACAACATGTAATCCGCAGAATAACAACGGAATCTCCCATAAACGACTGCACAAACTGCACGTCACATGAATGGATCAACGCCACAAATAGTGACATATTTTTGTGACGTATATGTAATCTTGAAATTCATACAATTATATGGAACGAGATCCAAAAATTCACAATTATTTTCACAATACTAGTACAAATAATTATCATGATTATGACGGTCTTGAAAGGCTATTTTAAATTAAAGCTGTGACGACGTCATAATTATATGGACTAACACAATACTTTATCCATAGAAAACAGAAATTAACTCGACTATACTGACAAATAAGACATATGTGAAATGTACCGAAAATGCAGAATTCAAACCACAAACGATAAGACATACCACAATATCCAACCGTACTTACTTACCGTAAACCCAGAGATTCAATTTACGGGCGCCATCACGAGTTGATTGACCGTTATGGAATATTTGTTAAACAGATGGCGACGGATATGTTCCACCCCCAGTTTTTGGTGGGGTTCGTGTTGCATAGTCTTTATTTTTCTATGTTGTGTCTTCTGTACTATTATTTGTCTGTTTGTCTTTTCATCTTTAGCCATGGCGTTGTCAGTTTATTTTCAATCTTTGAGTTTGACTGTCCCTCTGGTATCTTTCGTCCCTCTTTTCCAATTGTCTCGAATGTGACCCTACGAATAAGACTTATCATCGGATTTGTACATACATGAGCAACATGACGAATGCCACATGATGGGCAGGAACTGCTACACTTCCGGAGCACCGACGATCACTCCCGGTTTTTGGTGGGGTTCGTGTTGAACAGTCTTTAGTTTTCTATGGTGTGTTTTGTATACTATTGTTTGTCTTTTGGTCATTTTCTTTTATCAAGCTGTTACTTTGATGAGTTTTTCTCTTAGATGTACCCATATTAAGTACCACAAACTGTTACTTTGATGAGTTTGTCTCTTAGATGTACCCATATTAAGTACCAAAAACTGTTACTTTGATGAGTTTGTCTCTTAGATGTACCCATATTAAGTACCACAAAACGATAGAGTTACCAAGTGACATTTAGAAGCAATATCATTTCTTCAACAATAGTTATGTCTTTTGCCAAGTTTCGAGATGCAGCATGCATTTCTTTATTTGTTCACTGGTAGCTCTTAATTAAAATTCCTTTGAGAAAACTAAACCAATCAAGTTTTGTCAAACTTCATGATTTCTTTTTTGATAATATCAATTATGGAAGACGTCCTAACAATACACTGCACTTATATATATTGATTGAAAAATATTGTTGAATCACCTATCAAAATTTTTTTTGGTGATTATTGTATAAACATAAAGATCTTGTAACAATTTGTATCAGTTCAATTCTTTATTTGCGTCATATATTTACCTATGTCTTCTGTATGTACATAAGTAGAAATACATTTATTTTCGTTATTCATGAAAAAGTATTTTAATTTAAAACACAATATTAAACTGACTGGCGCATGGCCAGGAATTATCATACTGTTCTTACGTCTATGGATGTTTATGTCAAGCGGTATGTATGTTTTTAAATTTATTTCTTAATGTTTATAACTGAAATGTAAGAGACTTTTGGCATAGTTTACTTGCTTGTCTAATTAACATTTAACATGGAGATGATTTATCCTCTCCTGAATTCTGTTAATAACATTAAAGATACACATTGTACTGCATCAGATGCGCATTACGACAAAAAATACTCTTCGGTGATGCTCAAGACCACAATATTGGAACATCCAAAAACCAAAAATGAACAAAACTATAGCCAAAGCCTGACAAGGAATCACAGCTATGCAACCAAGTGATATATTCATTAATCTAAATCATTAATAAACTCATAAAAGATAACAGGATTAAAATTTTGTACACCATACGACGCGCGTTTCGTCTTCTAAAGACTCATCAGTGACGCATGAATCAAAAAAGTAAAAAAGGACAAATAAAGTACGAAGTTGAAGAGCATTGAGAACCTAAAATTGCGAAAGGTTTTTTTTTGCCTTATTTTGTCTGGTTAGTATAATTTATATGCTAATGATATATGAATAGGCGTGTATACTGCAACATATTATACTCAACAACTGATGGGGTTTTAGTTTTA